GAAATGCAAGTTTTTTGTTTTTTGTTTTTTTTCCAAGTATTTATATTGATCTACTACGAATAGGGGCAGTCTGTCTGTAGGTAGGTCTGCAGGCCAGAAGAGGGCGCCTGACAGACGGTGCTGAACTACATGCAGTGGCCGGGAATTGAACTTGGGATCTCTGGCAGAGCAGGAAGCGCTCTTAACCACTGAACCATCTCTCCAGCTGCTGAAAAAAAAAAAAAAAAAGAAAAAAGAAAAAAAGAAAAAAAAATGCAAGTCAATGCCGGGGAGAATGAAAGAAAGCCGACAAAAGGCAAAGAGAGCAAGCTTCCTTCTTCGTTTCCTTTATATAGGCTGCAAGCAAGAGGTGTGGTCAAGATTAAAAGTGGATCTTCCCACCACACAAGATCTGGACTAAAGGTGCATTTCCCACTTCAAAGATCCAGATTAGAAGTGGGTCTTCCTACTTCAAATGATTTGGTTAAGAAAAAGTCCCTCATACGTGTATCCAGCCATTTGGAATTTAGTTCATTCCAGATGTAGTCAAGTTGGCAACCAAGAATAGTCATCACACCAGGCCATGCAAGGTTTCTTACATAAATTGATTACAATGTGCTAGGTTTAAATTTGTCGAATTTATTTCTACATGTATTTATATTTTGTGCATATGTAGGTGTGGTGGTGGTGGTGGTGTGTGTGTGTGTGTGTGTGTGTATGTTGTTAATATGTTATGTGTTAATATGCTATGTGTCAATATTCTATCGCATGAATGTGGAAGTCAGTGGACAGCTTGGGCGAGTTATTTCTCCCTTTCCAACATGTGGGTTCTAGGATCAATCAAACTTTGGCTGTCAGGCTTGGCAACAATCACCTTTACTCTTGGAGCCATTTCAACAGCCCATAATATTCTCAGTTTAGGTCATAGTGTAGGTCCCGTAGATTTATGAATATACTAGATTGCCAGAATTGCATACTTTTTAAAAATGTCAATTTTTGAATTACATATTAATAAAGATTATCACGGAACACAAGAGAAGAAAAAAAAAATGCAAGTCAAATCGGGAAGGATGCCAAGGGGGGCAAGTAAGGGTCACTGGGGAGAAAATAAACATCCCCAAAGGAGCGGAAGATCGTATTAAGGTAGAAACCTGCCACACAGATCAAAGGAAGTAGAACTCCACTGTGCAGAAACCCAGCCAGGACTCTCACTGCACGAAACACTCAGTAAAAACAAGAAATGAGAAAAGGCTGGGCTCTCGCTCAACAGTGAGCCCTCCCCAGTCTTGTCGTCAGATAACCACTGTTTCCTGTGTGCACGGCAGTTTTCCCTCAGAAAGAAACTTTGAACACAGATTCCGATTTTGTAAGTAAAGAGAATCCTAAATAGTTTTGATTCTACTAAAATAGGGACTGGTAAAGAATTTCAAGCCCTCACTGTGTGCGGCTTAGGTTAGAGGGAAGGGAGACTGGCATTGGCCGGCAGAGCTACTAGATACAGGTGCATCTCCAGGGAAGAGAAGATGAGGGCCAATAAGGGAGTGTCTACTGAGAAAGGTGAGTTCTGCCATACTGTGAGTAATACATAATATAAAGTAATATCAAGTATTAATACAGTATAATATAAAATAACGAAATGCCATAAGGGAACCTGCTGCTTGATAAGTTAATTAAAAATAAAAGTAAATTAAAAAAAATAATTACATGGTCCAAAAGGATAAGACTTGATAATAGGTAAGAGGAAAGGCAGGAAAATAAACCATATTCTACTCTTTGATTTCAAAGCAGTGGATGTCTTAGTTAGGGTTTCTATTGCTGGAATGAAACACGGTGACCAAAAAGAAAATGGGGAGGAAAGGGTTTATCTGGCTTACCCTTCCGTATCAATGTTCATCAATGAAGGAAGTCAAGACGGGAACCTAGAGGCAGGAGCTATTACAGAGGACATAAAAGGGTGCAGCTTACTGGTTTGTTCAGCCTGCTTTCTTATAAAACCCAGAATCACCAGTCTAGGGGTGACACCACCCACAATGGGCTGGACCCTTCCTCATCACTCATCAATTAAGAAAATGCCTTACAGGCTCGCCCTCAGCCTGGTCTTATGGAGGCACTTTCTTGAGGTTCCATTCTTTCAAATGACTTTAGCTTGTGTCAAGTTGGCATAAAGCTATCCCACACAGTGGAAGTCTGAGGAAATGTTGTTGATGACAGAAATGAAGATAAGAGCCAAGGAGGCAATAAAAATAATAACTTGGGGCAGGTAGTGGTGGCACATGCCTTTAATCCCAGCACTTGGGAAGCAGAGGCAGGTGGATCTCAGTGGGTTTGAGGCCAGCCTGGTCTACAAAAGTGAGTTCCAGGCCAGCCATGATTATTACCCAGAGAAACCCTGTCTAGAAAAAGGAAAAAAGAATTTGTTGAAGCTGAACAAGCCAGCCAATGCTCATAATCACAGCAAGGCAAGAGGACTGACCTAAGTTCAAGGCCAACCTAGGCTACATAGTGAATTCCAGGCCAGCCTGGGCTAGGGTATGAAACCCTATTGGCGAGGGGTATAAACAACCTGGGGAGATGACTCAGCCTGTGTCTTCATTTGCTTTCTATTACTGTGATAAAAGCCCATAACCAAAAGCAACTTGGGAAGGGAAGGGTTTATTTGGCTTACTAGTTACAGTCTATATGAAAAAGGCCAAGGCAGGAACCTGGAGATAGGAACTGCAGCAGAGACCTTGGAGGAATGCTGCTTACTAGCTTGCTCTCCATGGCTTGTTTAGCCCGCTTTTTCACACAAACCAGGGCCTCCTGCTCAGGGATGGCACTACCCACAGTGGCCTGAACCCTCTCACATCAGTCATTAATGAAGAAAATGCCCCACAGACTTTCCTAGGGTCCAATCTAATGGGCATTTTCTCAACTGAAGTTTTCACTTGCCACATTATCTTTACTTGTGTTGAGTTGACAAAAAAAGGAAGGAAGGAAGGAAGGAAGGAAGGAAGGAAGGAAGGAAGGAAGAAATCTAGCCAGGACAGTTGGTAAAGGGCTTGCTGTAAAAGCATGGGTGATCATTAGTAAAGAAACTGCCAACAGGACCACTCCATGATAGCTTTTTATTGTATATATGAGAGGGAAAGCAGTCAGAGGCTTCTGGAAGAGTCCAGGGAAGAGAAAAAGGAAAGCTGACATGGCCAAACTAGGGAAGGGAGAGAAAGCACAGCGGAGATAACAAGAGTGAGAGAAGAGAAGAGTCATGGCAGGAATCCAGGAATCGTAGAGAGTAGCAACAGGTTATAGGGAGGGTGAGTAGATGGGCGGGGCCAGGAGACTGGCATGGGGGCTCTGAAAAGCATAACAAGCCCTTGTGAACAGTGACTAAGGGAGCCTGGAGGCTGATGTGGGCTTTGATATGCATCCACAGGTTCATGTCACTGAAGAGTCATGGGTCTCTTCTGCCAGAGATAAGCAAAATGACTCTTTTTGGCAGATGGAAACCATTTTCATAAGTTCCTGAAGAATTTTTTTAACTATTTATTTTTATTTTGTGTACATTGGGGTTTTGCCTTCATGCATGTCCAGAAGAATGCTGGTTTTTATCAAACTGCCAGAAGTCCTCTTATAGTTCAGCTTGAGCTCATTTCCGAATGTATGGACACCCTGAGCCTACTAGTGAGAACCTTAGCTCCATACAGAACCCATGCTTTTAAAAAGCAGGCTCAGCAGCAAAAACCTGTAACGGCATTACTATGGAGGAGAAGACAGAAAGTCCTTGGGACCAAACTAGCTGAACCTACAAGAGACCCTTTCTCAAAACCCAAAGTGGAGGTCAATTGAGAAAGATACCTGACATCAACCTCTGTCCTCCAAATACATGTGTATACACACACACACACACACACACACACACACACACACACACACAAAGGAGAATTTGTAAGATTTCTTTTCCTCATCCTCTCTGATGAGCGAATGAGCAACAGTTAATTGTTACCATCTTCCTAAAAATAAAGACGCTCGTCAAGGCACTGAAACTTTCTCCAAACCCCAGGTGAGTTCCTGGCCACTTGGGCCAGTACTGAGAAATAAGTCTTAGCAGAACAACCCACTTGGATTAAGATTACAAAAGCACCAAGTTGCTGCCCTGCTGCTCAAAGGGATCATGCACGGTCTCCGTACTTCCTATCTAACCATCTCCATGTCTGAGAGCCTTGGCTCTCACCTCTGTCCCCACACAATCATCTAATCCCATCTCTGGTCAAGGAAGAAGAGAACATTGCTGTATTTCCCGAGAGAACAATGAGGACAAGTGTTGGAAGAGGTTTCGGAGCGCTGTTGGCACTTCTACCGGGTGACTAGCAAAAATAACACAGGAGTTGAACCCATTTTCACTGGGGGAAATTTCTTTCCTTTTGTTTTATTAGGGAAAAGCTGAATGGCACTTTTTTGTACTACAGAATAAATATTTTAACGTAGCTGTTGCATATTTCTCAATACTCACGTCACGTCCAATTCAAATTCTCAAAATAATTACGAAGAAATCCTTAGCTGCCTTTATAAGTTCTTAACTACGTGATATCTGTTCCTTGATATTTGCTCTGGTTCAAACGCAAAGAGTGCCGTGAAGCCAAGCCTTGAGTATCTAAACACAATTCCTCCTGCTTACTTTCTCAGTCACCTGCAGGCTGTACGCTTGCATTATTCTGAACTACATCTCCCAAGAGCATCAGCCGAGAGACTCCAATGAAGTGCATTGTGGGAGTTGTAGTCCTAGGTGAGGACATTTTCATCCGAGCCCTTGCCTAACGCGCTGATTCAGGCGCCACCAATTAGCAGGGGCCATGTCGGTGAGGCCGTGGTCCAACCGGGAAAGCTGATGTGAGAATAGTGCACAATGATTGGCTAAGGGATGACATAGGGGGCGTGCTCGTGAACAGGGCGGGGCGAGCACGGTCATTGGACAAGGAGGCCGGAGCGGCGGCTGGAGATTGGCTGCGCGTCGGGCCAGGGTGGCCTGGGAAGGGGCGAAGAAGGAACCTGAGCAGGAAGAGCGGCTGCGAGGCGGCGGTGAGGCGGTGGCAGCGGCTTAGTTGGTCGCGGCGACCGCGACGGCTCTCGACCTCGGAGAACAGAATGCAGGTCCGCTTCGGGCTGACGCTGCTGCTCTGCACGGTGCTCCTGAGCTCGGCGGCCGCGTCCACGGGTCAGTATCGGGCCTCGGGCAGCAGGCCCCGAACCACCGCCCCCAACCGCGGTGGAGGCAGGGCCGAGGGGCTCGGTGGTCTCTGGTCACACCTCACTCTGTCTGTCACTCGCTCTTGCTTTGGGCTTCGGTTATCCTGGGCCAAAGAGGGTGCTTAGGAAGCTAGACATAAAGAAAGGCTGATCACCCTGCCCACACGTCTCCCACGCAGCAAACTTTAGGTGACTTCTGACGAATGAGTAATTAACTGATGGGGAGGGATTCCAGACAGCTGGCTTAGACCCACCGGGATTCCTCGGTTCTCACGGAGGTGATGTGTGCCCAGGCTCAGGGACGCTCTGGGGGTTGCAGTTGACACACCTGGAGCTGTCACTTTGTGCAAAGCAGGGTTCATTGGGACTAGGATGTTGACAGTGGCGTGGAGGGATTGCTCAACACCTGGTCTGTTAGTTTGGTCTTTTACAAGAAAAACCTCTGATATAATTGTAGTCATTCTCGTCCCCCTCCTTAAATAAACTTTCCTGGGAAAATGTGACCTCTGCCATGGTGTTTCTAAATTTGTAGATAGTGATTTTTTGATTTTTGAGAGAGACTTGGTTCTTTCAAAATGAATAGAAAATAGTTTAGCCCTTTTCTGTAGGTACAAAAATCCGTGTGATTAATTGATTTTTCACCCGACTGGCTTTATATTACCTCTTTGCAAAGGATTCTTATTGAATGTTTTGATCTGCCTATATCAGAACAGTTACTATCTTAGATATGTTTATTTTAAACATACTAAGAATATTTTAGGTGTTGATAAACATTGACTACAGAAAGACTTTGAGATTTTAATCAGTTTCATTTAACAAGACAGCTGTTGGATGGCTTTACATTTTTCTGGAACACTGAAAATATAAATGTCAACTTTTTTTTAACAGCAGACATTTTCCCAGATGGTTATTTGAATCCCTAAATTCTCTGTCTTGGTTGTAAATGAAAGCCATAACACCACCCTACTTCTAAAATTAGAGAGTTGAACCAGAATCCCTTGGGTGGTGAGTTCTAGATCCCACTTCGAAAGTGGCAAGCATATGGTAATCACTTTACTGCCAGCATCACGCTGGAGGTCAAGTCTGCTCCATTTGAGGTGACATTTCTGTTGATTAATCAGATCCTTAAAGACTGTACAGTACTTAACTCCGGCAGAAATTTTAGCAGTTGCTGTTCAACAGAAGTATGAAGCAGAGCTGTTGCATGTTTTGGGTAAAGACCCTGATGGACCGTGGACCTCCTGCAACTGAATTCCTCCTCAGGTTTTCTTAATAATACAGTTTTAGCTCTACAATATACCACATACCTGTATATGAACGAACTCTGTGATTCTTCACCCTGAAGTTTGAAGATTCCGGTAATTCAACAACATAGCATATATCCCTCAGAAATTCACTTTGCAGAGTTTAAAGAACATTCAAACATAACAGCTTTTCCTACATCTTCCATCGACTGTGCTGTGTGTACTTTGAGCTCTTGGCATTGGCGGCGACAACCAGTTGAGAGCTAGGCTGAAGTACTTAGCACTCAAGTGTTAAATCTTCGGCTTGGGTTGATAGAAGTGGAGTTCAGAGTTTAGAAAATGTCTGCTCCGATTTCCGTCACAGTGACAACAGCCATGCATTTCTGTGGTACAGTCTAAAAGTGCATGAGGAACACTGGAAAAAGGCCAGTGGACCCTGCTGATCCACAAGTTCCACACTGTCAGGTTTAGCCTGCTTTCTAGGTTAGATTGTTGTATGGTGTACATGTGGACTCTATCCCAATCCTTATTTCCTAAACAATATAATAACTAATTTTTTAACATTTACCTTGTAAGAAGGGATGAAAGTTACCTGCAAATTCTGTTTTATGTGAGGGATTTCTAGGATTAGGACATCCTGTCGTGGACTGAGGTATCTGTGTATATCAAAAGATAGCTCTACTCTGCTCATATGAAGTTCAAACATATTTAATATGAAGCTTTATAAATTAAAGACTTGGGTTTTTCAGTTCTCCATACTATGCATTTGGTTGCTTATTTACATAGGATTTTTGCCTCACTTTTGAGATTGTGATGTAAAGCCTAGCTCTTCATAAAAATCAGATTTTTATGGTCATGTTTTATTTAATATTAATGTTACCCAGGGCAGGTTGAACTTACAACCACACCACATAGGCTCTGATTAACCAATAAAGCTGGCCCTGATTCCATCACTGTTAGTAAACACCATCTAACATGTTGGCTTAGAGACATGTAAAAGCATGGTTCTCGTATTAGAAATGCTTTCTTTTTCTTGTAAATGAATAAATTGAGAGGAGATTTTTAAAAAGATATTTCTCCTTAATTTTCTCAAGATAATAGTGATTCATTTTTCTCACTTAGAAATACAGCCTTGGTGGAGCTGGGAGTGTACCTTATTGGTAGTGTCAGTGGGGTGGCCTGGGTTCAATCCCAGACAGGGTGAGGAGAGACTGAGAGATTAGGAGAAGGACTGCCTTCTGCCTTCCCATTAGTAACACTGCCAGGTATTTGAGGTAAGTTGTACTAATACAGAAGTTCAGAGAGCGGCTTCAAGATGGCTGGGGGTGTTTAATTTCAATGTTCTAGTTGCTCCCCCCACCATCAGTGTGAATCAACAGGCACATTGTGGTGTTCTCTTTTGGCAGACTAAGAAAATAGAGGCTGAGCAGACTTTTCATATTGAGCTATCTGTGTCCACACAAATATTGGGGAAGCCCGGTCCCAGCTTTCCAAACCTCAAGTTTGGGGAGACTTAGGATCAGGCATTTGCTAGGATCTGTACCTGCGTCGAGCAAAGCGGAAGCAGGATGGCGGTTCCCTTTTCACCAAACTCACTGCTCTTTATGTTTGGAGGTGAACTAATCTGTTTAATATACATGACACATAGGAAGATGAAAATGTAGTGATCCCCTTTCCTGCAGAAGAACCCTGGTTGTGTGCAGTTCCGTAAACTAGTATAACAAAAATGAACGTGGATTGTTTTTCAGGGGAAGTTGTACAGTTAGTTAGAGCAGTTTGGCAGTTCCATTTTAGATGTGATACAGGTAAATGAGACATTTAGAACTCCATCATTGAATCCTTTTGCATTTTTTTCTCTTCTTGCTTTGCATCTGTTGCTGATAAAATGCAATGCCTGATTCAAGCATTGCTGTGCTCTTCCTACTTCTGCACAATGTCAGTGTCTTGGATTTTACTTGAGTACCTAAGAGTCACTTATATTACCAGCAACCTTTTCAAATATTGTACGTATAAATATCAGCTGGTAAGAGAAAACAGCTTTAGCTTATCCTTAAAGCCACTGTTTGGAGTATGTTTTCCTGTTTAGTAGCTGAGAAAGAACTGTTTTGTTGACCAAGTCATCTTAGTGAAAGAAAGAATGATGCAATCCACATGAAACCACCCTGATGTCACAGATCCTTTCTCCTGGAGCTGAACAGCACACTTTGCTCCTCCAGCACCTCACTGTTATCTCTGTTTCAGATGTGTGTCATTTGTGTTCATTTCTAGGTATCTGACTGATTTGCACTTGCAGCCGGTCCAAAGGCCTAGTGGATAGGGACATATCATGGACAAATTTGCACAGGCGGTGCCTGCTCTTCAGGCTGTGTACTAAATAGTTGGCATTTGTGATTAGCAAATGACATTAATACATACAACACTGACAACATAATAAATATGGGTTTCCTTCCCTTAGCAAGAGATAATACTAAGGATAGTATTTGAGCCATTTAGATCTTCAAAAAGCTAGAAGGGAGAATGATTGTTAATTCATGGACAACTACCAAAACGCCATGGGCACTATGGGTCTAAGACATGCCATCCCTGCCACCATTACCTCAGACTTGCAGATAACACATTTTGAAGGTCCTCTTAAAGCAGGTGAATCTATATAGTGACTCTACTCTACTTTTTTCTTTTGAATTGGGAATATACATGTGGCATAACTTCACTGGAAGACTTATTTTTCTCAGATATGCAAAACAAATACTGCAAACTAAGTTGGCTAAAGTTGAAACTCTTATGGTATAGCCATCAGAAACAAAGTATTGCCACATTCTCCAGTAGAAAGTGGTTTTATAAAATCCCACTGTGGATTTCTCATAGTTTATGGACACAGGAATAGTAATGCCCCGTTCAGGGTAAAATCAGGCCATTTTTTAAAAAGAAGGAAACAGAAGATCATGTCGCTGTTTGTCTTTACATTGGCAGTGATTATGAAGGTCAAGCACTTGCACCTGGCATTGAGTTATTGCCTGTTTCTCTAGAGAGCACTATAAACAGGCACTAAGACTAATGAAAACAGCCAAAAACCATGGAAAGGATAGTAGGAAATATGATTTCTGAGAAAGCTAAACCACCTCTGTGCATTCAAAAGCAAGCTGTAAATAATGGCTGGAGTCATTGATTGTTTTTTCATAACCATAAGCTATTGCTTTTCTTTTTATGTGTATGAGTGTTTTGCTTGCATATGTATCTGTGCAACATGTCTGTGCAGTGCCCATGGAGACCAGAAAAGAGTGTCAGATTCACCAGGAACTGCAGTCACAGTCGGCTGTGAGCCAGTGTGTGACTCTGGGAACCAAACCTGAGTCCTTTACAAGAGCAGCCAGTGCTCTTAACCACTGAGCCATCTCCACACATATGCACTCAAGTTCTCTCTCTCTCTCCTTCCCTCCCTCCCTCCCTCCCTCCCTCCCTCCTTCCCTCCCTCTCTCACACACACTAAGAAGCTGTTGTTATCTTGGGGCTGAAAAAATTAGTGAAACAACAAAATCCTACTCTGAATTAAAATAACCTACAGTAACTCCAGATCGTCAGCAGAGAAACAAAATAGCTAAAAACCTGGAATATGAAACTAGAGCTTCATTTTTATAAATTGAGACGGAATCTGAGCAAGAGGCTGGTTTGGGGGAGTAGGAAGGGAGCCTTCTGGTTTTCCTATGTGGAAGATGAAGAGGGACTTTTCCCCTTAATCTTTTGTGAAATCTTTGAATACAGTCAGTTTTTAAATAATCTAGGTTAACCAGACGGGAGGGGTGCAGGCCTTTAATCCCAGCACTTAGAAAGCAGAGGTAAGCGGATCTCTGTAGGTTTGAGGCCAGCCTGGTCTACAGAGTGAGTTCCAGGACAGCTATGGCTACAGGTAAACCCTGTCTCAAAGAGGCTAAATAAATAAATAAGTAAAGTGGGTTCATTTATCCGGTGATTAGTTATCTGTTGTGTATTTGTTTCCCCTCCAAGCTTTTTGCATAGAATTCCTGAAATTCTTGGACTCTTAGATAGGGGCACATGGGATCTTCTGTGTACTTTCTAAAATTTATAGTTCCCAGCAAAAAAGATAATTTGTCTTAAAATTTCTTTGCAGATGACGAAAATAACCAGGATGAATCCATAGATTCCAAGGTAGGTACTAAGGTTTGCACTGAACAAACTAAAGGAGTTATACACCTTAGAAAGGACCTACTAATTCTGAGTAACAAAATTCAATTAAAGAAGATGATACCAGTATTCTAACTCTTTTGGTTTAAAAAAAAACTGTATAAGAATAATGAGAATTTCCCTAAGGGGTGCTGGCTGTTAGGATCACTTTCAACTTAAATTTGAATATTCTGTGTGGATGGTGGACACTCACACAAAGACAGCATTTTTAGTGCCCAAAGAAAGATGGATTTTATACCTTTTTTTCTCCTAAAGTCTCATGTAGTTCACGCTGACCTCAAACTCACTATGTAACTGAAGGTGACCTACAATTTCCCATCCTCCTGTTTTTGCACTCCCAAGTCTTGGCATTGCAGATGTGTATTTTTTCTGGTTGGTTGGTTAGTTGGTTAGATAAGGTCTTACTCTATAGTCACGGCTGACCTGGAACTGACTATGTAGACCAGGCTGACTTTGAACTCACAGAGGTCCATGTCTCTGCCTCCTGAGTGCTAGGATTGAGAGTATGCATCACCATATCACCATGCCATCTGTTCCACCTAAGCAGATTAGGAAATGCATGTCCTCACGGGTTGCATAAGTATAGCCGGTTCTCACATACCCGGGGAGGACTGCTGGTTTTGAACACAGATCTCTAGATTAGACAGAATAGAGATCCAAACAGGAAGTCATAATACAGAGTTGCCAAGGGCAAGGATAAAGGAGGAGTACATGTAAGGAAGGGCATAGCCCTGTCTTCCGGGATTGAAAAAGACTGATGATGGGAAAGTAACATCTGAATTGGAATTCAAAGCTAGTCGCAGCCCCAGCTCGGATAAGCGCATCAGAGCCTATAGGTGGATGGAGCTTGGCATGCCTCAGAACTGAAGGAGACGCCTGTTGGCTCCTGTCAGCAGTGGTCAGATTGGCTTGGGGAAGTCATGCTACAGATGATGAGTAATAAAAACATTTTCTCTTCTCAGAGTTCTTTGCCAGCAGATGAGTCAGTGAAGGACCACACCACCACAGGGAGAGTGGTTGCTGGGCAGATATTTGTTGATTCTGAGGAACCAGAGGTGGAGTCCCCTCTTCAGGATGAGGAAGAGGGCCCCAAGACAGAGGAGGAAGTCACTGCCACCGAAGAAATCAGCTTTGTAGACTCTCCAAGTCTAAGCAGCAAGATCTATGAGGAAGCAAAGAGAGCCCGGAAGCCAGGTAACCTTGGCACTTTGATTTCACCTGATGTCGGAAAGAGACACCTGGAACTTTAAAGCTAGGGAACCTAGACAAATGCTAGCGAGAGCTGATCTTGCTGATTATTAACCACGTAGAAAGAGCAGAGTGTGGTTTACAGGGTTTTCAAGGTTTTAGCCAATCAGATATTCACTGTGCGGGTTTGATATTACATGACCTAAATTCATTGATAAAATTGCAAGTATTTTCTATTAATATATTAGCATTTTTGTATACTAGCATGTAAATTTCTTTGGAAAAAAATTGAAATTAAATGCCAAGGTGGGGAAAAAAAAAAGAAGCAGAGTTTCCAGGGTGGTTACAAAATTTTGTTAAGAGTTTTTACTGCCATTTTCACCATCCTGTAACTTTTCAGTCATCCTAGGTAATCTGATTTAGGTCTTACCTTCTCCCATTGAAACTGAACCCTAATCTTCTTCTAACCTGACCCAGCTTCACAGCTTTATGTTCAAAACTGACCTTAAAACAGTGTGTGGGGTAAGTGTCCGTCCTTTTAAAATTTGGTAACATATCCACTCTGCCATTTACTTTCTTACTTCACGGTTAACCACAGCAGCACTTGCTTCAATTCCAGCCACAGTCAGGAATTGATCCCAGGTGAAACTCTGTCGTACTCATTAATAGAAAAATCATTTCTCAAAAATTAAAAGCGCCTTATTCCATCAACTAAAAATGATGTTGACATTATCCTAGAATATTCTGACAAACTTTCACCAGGTATATATATGCAATTTGAAGTTCTTTGTTTTTGAGCATTAGTAAGAATACAGAGAAAAGAAACCAATGCAGGTAATTTTCATATGCTCCCCAGTTGGTCATTATTTCCCCACACAGCAAGCAAGCAATTTTGCAGTGGGTGTCGCGCTTGATGCCACCTGGTGTCCTCTCTTTTATCTCAGTTCTGTCATCCTACCTGGAGATAGCATCGGATCCCCCAGATCGAGGACTCAGCCCCACAGCACGGACCCTGCCCCGCTCACGTGCCAGTTGCCTGTGCTTCTGACAGTCTGCAAGCCAGAGTTCCCACGATATCATCCTTAGGTTCACTTCATGTGTTAGAGCAGCTTAGAAAACTCAGAAATAGAACGTGTTTACCCATCTGTTATGAAGTGTGTTACAAACTGTGTTAAAGACGGCACTGAAGAGTCGGATAGGAAGTGGGGAAGAGGTAGAGGGGAAGCAGAGTTTCCTTGCCCCTCTGGATCCACCACTCTCCGGGAATCTCCATCCTCGCAGCTGTTGAGACCCACTTGGAACTCAGTCCTTTGGATTCCTATGGAATCTTCATTATTGTCTGCTCCTCTGATGTAGTGGAAGAAGCTTCAACCCTTTGATTCATGGTTAGCTCCCTAGTTTGGTAACTCAGGAGCCCTGGCTCCCACTGACTTTGGTATATAGAAGAGAATTCTCTGTCCCTAAGGGAATCTAAGATTCTAGGAACTTCATGTGAAGAAACTTAGAGGAAGAACAAATAAGCTTTTTAGATACAACCACCTCATGACAAACCTTTAGTTATTCCCAGTTCACGCTATACAGCCATTCTTATGGCTAAGAGTATCTTACTCTTGTCCATTGAGAATACCTTTAGTTTATGCCTTTGTCCTTTTGACTGGATTCTGGTGATCTTTCATAACTCTTTTCAGGCAGAATAGTATGTCTCAAACTCAGGGTATTTCCTAACCTAAAGGAAAACCTCAGTCATTTTCTCCAGAAAACCTAGATTCATTTCCATAAGTTAGACCCTGCCTAGGCACCAAGAATTCACACTGCTTGAATGTGTGAGCCTTTTCAATAGATAAGTTTAGGAAACTTAGTGCAAATTAAGTATTACAGGTGAGATAATGAAAAGGGTTTGATTGACAAATTGAACTTCCAAGAATCAGGGTTCTTAGTTAGCCAGTAACTAACTCCCTAGAGATAATGGGCCAGGCAGTATTTAAATGAAAAAAAAAAAAAAGAATCAGGGTTCTTATCCAGTGCCAGACGTGGTGCATATTTTCAAAGAATCAGCCGCCACAAGACACAGAAAACGAAGACGAGTCCATGACCATCAGGGCTCCTCGCAGCTCCTTCTGTGCCCCATCCAGACGGGCTCTAGCCAGGTCATACTGCACTAGACTCCAAGGGACACTGAATTATCAATTTCACAGAAGAGAGCTGTGTTGATTAGCTATCTCCAGCTCATTCTCCAATAATCATAAAATTTGAGATATCCTCTAGAATAGCAGTTCTCAGCCTATGGGGGAGGAGTTAAATGACCCCTTCACAGGGGTCACATATCAGATATCCTGCATGTCAGATATTATTAGCATTACGATAGCAAAATATTGAAGTAGCAGTGAAAATCATTTTATGGTTGGGTATCACCACAACCTGAGGAACTGTACATTGTGCCTGCATACATGTGAGGCTTGTGTAAGTGAGCAGTCTGGACAGACCAAGTCCATCCTGCTAAAATGTGCCAGAAGTCAGTACTGTGATATTTTCTGGACCTTTAACATACTTGATGGCCAGTCTGTCACTATCGTGTTTATAAAGGATTCTGACCACGTCTCTCTTTTAGGCCAGTGAAAAGACATAACAGATAGGGATTTCTGATTCTTTTTGGTTCCAGGATGTATTTACTAGGGATTTGCAATAGTATTATTACTATCTCTTACGCAATTTTCTGTGGGTGGCTTTAACAGCAACTTTATAAACATATTTACCTATTCAACTTGTTTCAGTAATGATTTCGATTGATTTTTAATTTATTCATAATACACAAAATCATATTCACTTATGCATATTTAATATGTAATATATATTGCATAAGTTTGCATGGCTTTGTGTGTTCCATTCAACTCTATTAGAATTAGATTCTGTTACCGTCCCTCTAAATTGTTCCTTTTGTCAGCTTCTGGTTCATGTTCCTGCTGTGTTAATCATCCTAACTTTCAGACTTGACCCTGCTTCCTTATGCACAGCACTGCCTCCCATGCCTTCTGCAGTGAAGCACACACGTGTTGGCATGATTCAAGAATCTGGCATGGCAGCACCTCTTCTGTGCTCTCACCTGCAGCTCTCGCTAGAACACCCTTTTCTGAACGTTCCCCAAGTTTGCTCGGGGTGCAGTCTGTGTCCTGGGCCTTTCCACAGGTTACCCTCACAGCTTAAAATGTCCTCTCCGCCCCCTTGAACAAACCCAACACCAAATTTCTGTTCCCCTTCAACTTCTCTTTGTGCAGCAGCTTCTGCACTGCCCAAGGGTAAGAGCCTCCCTTGTGGCCCAGGCTTCACTCTTCCCTCTTCTGCCAGCAGGCAGAGTCAACTTTCTGCTTGTGCTCTTGGGTTCCTGTCATCTTAGAATCTAAATTTCTCACCTTTACTGATTAGGTCTTGCCTCCCTCCAGCTTCCTCTTCTGCTGTTCCCGTCTCCCACATGACCCCAGCCACACTTGCCTTCGTACCTCTCCTTGAATGTTTCCTACTGTGTTAGCAAGACCACAGTCCTCGGGTTAGTAATTCACTAGGAAGAATCTAAGGACTTAAGCATGTAGATGTATTCATTGGTATACTCTAATAAACTAATTTTATACACACACACACTGTGGCATGCATATGCCTCTTCCCCAATTAATTAATTTTAATTTTAAAATGCAAATCAAAGTCAGCAAAGGAAGAAGTGCATGAAGTGGAGTAATCTCAGGGAGCTTCTAAGGGTCCTCTCTCAGGGATGTCACACCAAGTGCACCTAACCCTCCAGCAGTCAGTTGTAGTAACATAGCAAGCATTAGCGGCCCTCGGAGTAGCTTAGGCTGGGGCTGACACAGTACCTGAAGTTTTTTATTCGGAGCTGGGCAAGGTGGCAACCGCATACCTGGCACATACCAAAATTGCGGGCATGCAGTGGATAAGCGTGTTCATTATGAATCCTACTCTTTGTATAGTTTGAGTGAGCCACTCTGAACAGGCGGGATGGTGGGATCTCATCAGAAATCAGTAATTTCATACATGCCAGCTAAAGGCAGCCTTTGTCAGCAGACCCTTTCAAGGACAGAATTTAGGCTGATATGCTAATTCTTCTCAGCTCAGTCTTCACCTCTGTGGTCACTGGCCAACAGCATCTGTAGATCTGAGGTGTTATTAGTAAGACCCAGGAATGGTGAGGCCAGACTACTGCTTTGCCCCCAGGAGTCCTGTTCTTAGTGAATTACAGCAAATCCTATTAGTTGTAATAGATCTGTTGAAAAACCAGGTAGCTTCCTCCTTAAGTTTCTGTATTAACGTTTTTGCTTTTTAACCTGGCCCAAAGCATCAGTTCAGACACAGTTTTACTATGTCTAGTAGGTTGAAGTAGACCCAGCAACCTTTCAGGGTTGAGGCAGTGTTGTGGGACGTCCCGTCCTGTATGGTCCACATGACAGCCATGGAAGCAGAACTGAAGGTGGACTGTTAAGCGTGATGCGCATTAAGTGGCACAGTGTGACCTTCCACCATGGTGGCTTGCCTTCGCCTTCCTAGTCTGGCCCTTGGTTTCAGAGGACTTGCTAGGAGGTTTGTCTGTACTGTCCATAACCCATTCCATCTGCCCATGAGTCAGAGAAGGATCTGGAGGATTTCTGTGTGGGTAGTGAAAGCTTGGGTCGCCTACCGCCTTCTCATAGCTAGCCTGTCTTTAGGACGGAGTAGCAGCTTCTAGAAACAGTTTCCGGAGATCATGAATGCCCTCTGCTCTCTCTGCCTCCTACATGCAGGAGTTTCAGGTTATTTGGCTCAGTTGTTAGAAAATCAGTAATTTCATTCAGAAACCCTAAGTATACCTTTTTTTCAGCCATTCCCTAGTTTCATCTGTAGCATGTGTCTAGAGGGTTCTAGGGAAGAGGTACAGAACAGCACCACAGAAAAACATTTGTATAACTTCGCCAGGAAGACAGTGCCCAGAAACTGAACACAACAAAATCCTCAATTTTCAAACACTCTGGTGTCGTCTCTTACATGTTCACCTTGATCGTTCTTCGTCTATCAGCCCATTCAGAGACTCCCTGAGCTTTGTGCAGCGGGAAGTGGGTCATCAGTCCATTGCGTCACACTGCAGGGAAGAAGCCCAAGGGTCAGCAGCGTGAGACTTGCTCAGCAGGAATCAGGCCAGCCTGCCTAGAGTGAGCAGAGGATCATGGTCTCTGCTATGAACCTTCTCCAAACTTGTAACTTGGACCAATAATCACAAGTTCACAGTGCTGTCTGTACCAGAAGTGGACAAGCCAGTTGGGAGCTGGATTTCAGAGGGTCCCAGCACCGAATGATCCCTCCCCTGTGAGCATGTGAATGTGGCCATTCAGGCCAACCAACCCCCGAAAATGAGACTTTTTCACAGCCATGGGGCCCCTGAGCAGTGTCCTAAATGTGTGAGTCTGCAGGAGCCTCAGTGCTGTGCATTGAGTTCATTCCTGCTCTGAATGCAGCACAACTCCCGCTGGGGCTGCGAGCCTGTCCCAGGCAGTATTGACTTTTGGCTCAGAATCAAGTTCAGGCAGTTAAGGCCTGTAAACTCAGGGCTCAAAAAAGGCCAGATGTTAGCAGCATCAGAAGCAAGGTGCTTCAGGACCAAGGAGTTGAATAATCCAGGCTTTCCTAAGCCCTTTTTATCTAGTCAATCTTCAGAATCCTAACTGACCTACTCAAAATATATTCAAGTTGAAAAATCATCTGCCTCTAAGAGATCAGACTTTCACCAACTCTGGTGACATGCTTTCAATCCCAGCACTCTTGAGAAAGAGGCAAACCTGGTCTACATGGTAAGCTCCAGGCCTGCTATGGCTATGCAGTAAGACCCTAGTCACTGAAAAAGAAAGGAGGGAGGAGGAAGGGAGGGAAAAGTCAGACTTCAGCTTTCACAAGAATGAATTAGCAAACACAACCTGATTTTTGAACTCTACATAATATCTCTGTCTGTGTTGTTACTAGTCTCAGAGTTTAAATTCCAGCCCTTGCTGCTGGGAAAAACCAAGTTTTGTCTCAGTAACATATTTTTTTCTTCAGTTTCTTTTGACCACGGTGATACCTCTAGCATTTATAAAGTCGTAAGTACTTTATATTTTGTGTGAACTTTTAGCATATATCCAAGATGTCTAGCCACTAAATGACGCTCCACTAAACATCCTTTTCCATTTCTCTCCTCACTGCTGTTTAGTTATTCCCCCACTAGTTCAGAGCAGCCAGAGAGCACCCAGCTGGCCTGAGTATAGAAAGGAAGGCTGCTGCAGCAATGACCATCCCTAACTAAAAACTGCCTGTAGTCCTTTTGTCCTCTGGCTTAGTTGCCATTTTTCTTCAGCCCTGGGACCTGATTTAATCCTATCCCCACCCTATACACACATGCATGCTCTCTTTTAGAGGAGAGAACAAGGTCAACTTTAACATCTTTATCCAGCCTGGAGAATTTAAGGCCCATCAGAGGACAGATCATAATCAGAACTATTCATATCAACTGAGCTACTCTTATATTTTCCCTTTCTGTAGCCAGTAAAACCAGCAGCAGTCAGGAGATCCAAGCCAACTCTCCTAGAGTTAAACCCCTTGTTTTAAGCTCCCACAGGTCGCTTTTCCTCTCATGCACACAGAACCTCAGTGGCTACCTCGTATGACTCCATAGCCCACGTGCCTGTGCACCCTGCCCCTTCCCTCCTCTTCCCTCGCAGTGCAGCAGCATGTTTCAGGGAGAATTGGCCATTCTAGTAAATCCCACATGAGAGGTCAAGGCGTCTAGATACCCAAGACTGTTTGGTGATTTGCTAGAAGGAATCAAAACACTTGGCCAGCACTTATACAGCAAAGGGATTCAAAGCAGAGTCAGTGAAGGGAAAGGGTGCATTGTGGCCAAGTAGAGGAAACTAGACATGAATGCCTGAGGTCCTCTCCCTGGTTGTCAGCATCACCAGAGCCCCAGTATGCGCCTAGTCTGCAGTTTAGAACAGATACTGCTCTTGCAGCCAACCTGACCAGCATCTTTGTCAAGCAGCTCACAACTGCTTGTAATTCCAGCTTTCTCTTTTCTGCTTAGGCACTGCACTCATGTGCACATGGCCCATACACACACACACACACACACACACACACACACACACACACACATCTAAAAATGAACTGGAGAGACAGATGGACAGACATAATGTATAAACACAAAATGTTATCTACTTGCAGTTTTGGTCAAAATTGGGAAGAGAAATTCTCAATCTGTCAACACCTAAACAATGTAGCAAGTTATAGGAAAGGTAAAACCAAAGCCAGCCAGTGTGCACAGGTAGATTTGGGTGATGTGTCTCGGTTATTTGAACTGGCAGGTAAGTCTTTTCTCCTGGCAGCTGGGCCAGAGTTAGGGAGGACCAGTCATTTATACTCCATATGGTATTTGCTGTAGGGAGTTGGAGCTGAAGAACACTTTGGGCCTAAATTCTCAGGGCCCCATTTTCATATCGGATTCACTTGACACCTCCCAGTGCCCATACGCAGAGCACCGTGGGGATAGCGCATGAGGCGCTGCTAGCAGGGAAGCTCATGAGAAACCTAGTATTTGGTGTTTTGTCTGGGAACTAGCCATTTATTCACCTTGGCCTCGCATGTGCCAAAACTGTAGACTCCCAAGAGCAAAACAGATGTAGAGGATAAACCACATTTATATAAACACGTGAGTCACATGAATGTGTATGGGGTAGGGGAGCCATTTTTGTGTGTGTGTGCGTGTTTGGAAATATAAAGGAAGAGTTCAGATTTTCCACAAAGCTTCATTAGCTGAAAAAAGAGTTTGAAGTGGTAGGCAAAGATGATTGGGTTTTTTTCCTTTACATTTGCATACTGTCTAGTCATTTTATGTCATAAAAAAACACATTTTTCCTTATGGTAAAATAAAAATACAAAAATAATAATTCAGTAGAATAACCAACATCTTGATCTGTTCAGCTAATACAAGTTCAGAGAAAGTAAATTGCTGACTGTTACAAAGGTGTTTCTACTTTGCTCTGGGAAAGACAGAGAAGGACCCATCACCTAATTGGGGTGAATCATAGGCAGTGGCTTCCAACACACCCAACTTTGATGGAAAGGATTATGTTGCTGTTGACCATAAGCATTACTGTCCCTCCAAAGGGAGGGAGAAGGCTTATTCTAAGCCAGGTGTGAGTGGCCAGGGCCTGGAAACACTTGTTGTTCCCCTGTAGAAGTGGCCTCATCGAGTTTTATAGTCACAAAAGGAAACCACAAATCAATGCATTGTTTTAACCACGTGGTGGTAATATGGGGCTATCTGGTTAGGTGAAAGAAAACAATGAAGAAATTTGTTACAGGTTCAGATGTTATCGGATAGCATTTGTAGCTTTTGAGCTGGTGCAAGCTAATGGTCTGCTAAGTTTATGTGTGTCAGAGATGTTATCTGACGGTTGAAAGGATGTTATGATAAAGGGCACTCCAGGGGAGGAAAGAAAGCCTTGACATTGGACCTGAAATATTCCACGTCTCCGTGATCGTAGAATTCCTTTATTTTAGAAGCAAGTGTGACTTACATTATTCATATACTTGATAGAAAAAAGAATGTGGAAAACAGGTTAGAACAGTGGTTCTCAGCCTTCCTCATGCTGTGACCTTTTAGTGCATTTCCTCATGCTGACCCATGAAATGACCCCCAACCGTAATATTATTTTTGTTGCTACTTCATAACTAATCTTCTGTTATAAATCATAATGTAAATATCCGATATGTAGACTGTCTCATAATGTGACCACTGTAGAAGGGTCATTTGATTCCCCAAAGGGGTTGTGATCCACAGGTTGAGAACCAGTGGTTTAGAGTCATATGAAAAATAAGTCTGGGTAGGTACATGCCCCTTTACCTGCAAATCATGCATGGCAGCTGTCCTTGCCAGATTCCCCTTTCGTCACACAGCCCAGAGCACACTTGGAGCTGCTGGCTGAGCAGCAGGTCTTGCACTACAGGGTGAGTGGCATCTTCCTGATGCCACTGATTGAAAATTTTTTCTCCCAGCTTACTGAAAGTGTTTCTAAAATCCTCAGATGTGTCTCTTGTTTAAACTGAAAACAAAGGAGAAATGCCTCTAGCCTTTCAGAGGAAGGTGTCAGGAATAAACAACAGATGTCAGTTCTTGAACTTATTATTTGACAGGGGCCATATTAAATAGTCTTGTAGGAACTACAGTGCGGGGGGCGGGGAGCTAATAACAAAACCCTCAGTAACCATGATAAGTACTCTAACAAAGGGCTTCACAGAGGAATATGTGAATGATGAATTTTTGCCTGGGGAAGCATTATCCAGGTATAACTTTAGCTAATTGAAATTGTTGGACTCCATTCATGGAAAAAGAAAATTGTCCTAGCAGTAGAGACAATTATGTCTGCTTGGTTTTTGTTCACTCCTTAAACAGGAGTTTGGGGAGCTCTTTGGTTGGGTCTGTTGTTTTGTTTAGTTTTGCTTTGCTTTGCTTTGCTTTGCTTTTTGAGACTCTAGTCTCTGACTCAGGACAGCCTTTAGGCAGTTTCCTGGTAGACTTTGAAACCATACTGTTTTATCTTAAGAACTCAAAGTCTAAGCTAGACGCATGTGAGTAGTCAGCCCGGCTCACTAGGTGGACGTGGCCTCAAGTCTTCTCCAGTCAGACCAGCTCTGGCTCTCCTCTGGCTCCCGTCACAGATGCTGCAGAGAGTCTCTTTGCCTTCAGATTTAATATAGCTGAAGTTTGACGTTGTTGAGTCCCTACATCACAAAGGTGTTCATTTAGACTCTTGTTCTTTTGGTTTTTTGTTTTTTCCAGTTTTGACTGCCATTGAAGGTACGGCGCATGGGGAGCCCTGCCACTTCCCTTTCCTTTTCCTGGAGAAGGAGTATGATGAGTGCACGTCGGATGGGAGGGAGGACGGCAGATTGTGGTGCGCCACCACCTACGACTACAAGACAGATGAGAAGTGGGGCTTCTGCGAAAGTGCGTACCGCTGAAGTCGGCAGTGTCCTGTGTTTTATGTCTAGGGCAGCATTCGGAAGGCATTTTCTAGCTGTCCTTTTCCACGTGGATCAGTGCTGATGAAATGCTCACAGCCTTGAAGAACAACTTAAGAGCTGTGAGCATGTAATGCACTTATTTCAAACTATCACTCAGCCTTTCACACTTAAGTCTCATTGATTCACAAGTAGTTCTATAAATCCTTGAGGCAGGTTATTGAACTAATTAATACAAAATAATTCATCAATAATGGAAGCTGACTATCATGGCAAAGGTTAATAGTAGTTAGAAGAACACTAAAAAAATACCGTCTTTAAAAGGCTTTGAGTGGACTATACTATGCTTATGTAACACTTGACATATGTAGTGTGTTTAACCACCCTGTGTGTAAATGCTGCCCTCTGCTGGAAAACTGTTTAAAAAACATAGCAGTGTGGTACCAGATACCATTTCTAACATGGTGAATGTAGCCTCCTAAGCATCCCTAGAAGACAGCATGAAACATAGGTCATCTTCAGATGCAGGCCACTATGACTAGTTTGATATGTCAGGCTTTTCCCTTTTTTTTTCTTCTTCTTTTTTTTTTTTTTTTCCGAGACAGGATTTCTCTGTGGCTCTGAAGTCTGTCCTGGAACTAGCTCTTGTAGACCAGACTGGCCTTGAACTCACAGAGATCCGCCTGCCTCTGCCTCCCGAGTGCTGGGATTAAAGGTGTGCACCACTGCCGCCCGGCACAGGTTTTTCTTTATTACAAAAAGAATTCATTTCTCACTGTCTTATGATGAGTTCTGTATTCTGTTTCAAAAGTTGCATTCAAGTAGCAAAATAGTTTTTTTAAACCCACAACTGTTCTATGTTTTTTTTCAGTGTTATATTAATGAGCATGAAAAATAATGAACTGGGCTGGAGATGTAGCTTGGTTGATAGAGTGCCTGCTTGCCACACACAAAGCCCTGGGATTGGTCCCCAGCACCACATACACCACTTACCTTGGTTGTGGTGGCACGCACCTTAATCCTAGCACTCTGAACAGCCGGATCAAAAGTTCAAGGACATCCTTGGTTACATTGGGAGTTTGAAGCCAGCCTGGGCTCTAAGAAACCCCATTCAGAAAAAGAAGAGAGAAATGACTGAACTTAAACATTGTACACTAAATTACTTCTAACCAAGTTTTAAGATTTTAGTTATATAATTAAATGATTATATAAATATACACTATGTGACCTTTGGATATTATAACAATTTTCTGGTTGTTCTTCTCCAGTAGCTTTTTTGTTACTATTTCAGCTGAACTTAGCATTTAATATGAAGTTTTAGTTTAATTGTATTTCTAAAAGTCATTATCTCTAATGCAGAAATATGCTCAAAAGCAGCTTGGTCTTGCTGTTGCTAAAAGAAACTGTTATTTAAAACCCTTTGTCAGTACAGGACACACTTCAGCCGTTTTTAGTCATGTTTGGAAATAGCAAAAGATCGTTCTTCCTGTATGTGTTCCTACCTGAAACAATGAGTAAGCTTGGTACTAGGTAAATGAATTCATGTAATGCGTGTGTCATTTTATTGTCAGCTGAAGAAGATGCTGCGAGAAGACGGCAGATGCAGGAAGCAGAGATGGTTTATCAGGCTGGGATGAAGATTCTGAATGGGAGCAATCGGAAGAGCCAGAAGAGAGAGTAGGTTGCACTGTCCGGCCCGTTCTAAGCACAGGCCCTATTGCAGGAAACCTTAATGTGTTTTGGGCAGACTTTAACTCGTTTGGATGAGACTATACATATTGACCATAACGCTGATCAGTGAGAAAAATGGCAATAGTATATTGTAGTTGGTTCTAAGAACTAAGAGTGAACACGCTGTTCGGAATTCAAAAATGACATAAACAAAAGGAACTGTCACTAGATTGTTGAATTTTTTTTGTTCTACTTTGATATTTTCACCTAGTACGTTATTCTCTGAAAGAATTATAGCGTTTCCTGTCTGTTTGATTCCTGCTGGTTTTGTTAGTCTATGCAGAGTGAGAAAATTTTGAGTTATTTGTGTATTTACCAGGCATCATTACAATTTTTTATTACAAATCTTGTTAACCTGCTTATTAGCTTTTCAGTCATTGTTAGTGTAATTAGATAATTTCACAATACTAGACATAAGCTAAATCAAACTCTCCAGGATATTTTCTTTATATATAATACCATGATATAGTAGGAGTAATGGGTTGGGATTTCTTACTATAAAATAAGAAAATTGCAGTCCATTTTAGTAAGGAAAAATCTTTAAATGACTGTTATGAAAACACAGCTGACTTTTTGTTTGATTGTTTCTGTTTAAAGAGCGTATCGGTATCTTCAAAAGGCAGCAGGCATGAATCACACCAAAGCCCTGGAGAGAGTGTCCTATGCTCTTCTGTTTGGTGATTACCTCACACAGAATATCCCAGCAGCTAAAGAGATGTTTGAGAAACTGACTGAGGAAGGTTCTCCTAAAGGACAAACTGTAAGTGCGGCTCCAATAGAGAACCTCTGCACATAGCACTTAGTTTTTGTGGGGTTGTTTGTTTATGTGCGGGGGTGTTTTTGCCTGCACCGTTTGTGTGCCTGGTGCTCAAGGCGGTCAGAAGAGGACGTCCAATCCCCTGGAACTAGAGTCACGGGTAGTTGTGAGCCACCATGTGGGTTCAAGAATCAATCCCAGGTCTTCTGGAAGTGTAGCCGGTGCTCTCTCTAGCTCTTACCTCTTTTTAATTTATTCTAATAAAATGTGGATGTGTGTTTATCTATATACATGTGAGTGCAGGAGCAAAGGGACATGGATGCTGAAAATTGAACTCAGGTCTCTGAAGGAGCAAAATGTGCTCTTAATTGCTAAGCCATCCCTCCACTCTCTCTCCAACACTCAGCACTGAATTCTAATAGCCATTTGTTCTCTGTGCCCTGACTTTTTTCAACAATAGAAGACTGGATGACAACATATCTTTAATTACTAATTTTTTGACAGACCATTTTACTTGTTTTCTTGGATACTTATTTTCCTTCATCTATGAACTTTTATGTTCAATGAAGATAATTTTATAGCTACATCTTACCGCAGATTCTTTTGTAGTTTTACAGTATTAAATCTATAGACAGTGACATGAAGAGCAGCTCGATAGAGCAGCAGTTCTGTTTATCTGAAATTATTCCCCATAGGATTTTCTCCCAAAGTTAACCTTGACTTTTTAATGGGTGTATTGCGGGGAGGGGGTGTGTGAATGAGTGTGTGTGTGTGTGTGTGTGTGTGTGTGTGTGTGTGAGAGAGAGAGATAGAGAGAGTGATTGATTCTAGGGTGTTCTAGGAGACCAGGAGATGGTATCAGATACATGCAGGTGTGTCTGATACCCATGGGTGCTCAGATCTGAGCTCTGGTCCTTGTGACAGAGCAGCAAGCATGCCTATCAACTAAGCCATCCATCTCTCCAGCCCAGTGTTGATACTTTAAAAAAAAAAGTAATATAAACGGTTTTAGGACTGGGAATATAACCAGGAAGAGCATTTGCCTGGCGTGTACAAAGCCCTGGGTCCAGTCTCCTAGTCCTACACTACATACATGTGTATTATGTGTATTGTGTGTGTGTGTGTGTGTGTGTCTTTCTCTCTCCCTCTCTCCATCCTTCCAGCCTATAAATGTCCATAATGTATTGTTAGAGCACTGAGCTCAAAAATTTCTTTATTCTGATTTTGTCAAAGCAAGTGTCTACCACAGCATTACATTTTAGTTGTTATTTCTAATGTAGCCTTTGTCTGATTGGTTTGTTTCTGTGTTAGAGGTAAATACAGTTTTTCTGTAGCATATTCTTCCTGCATTTGTCCTCATTTCAGCATCTATTCATTAATTTTTCTATTACCTGTATTTTCTCTAGGCCAGATATCACAGCTAAAGGCTAATAAATTGAAGTAACTGTTTTTAGCTAGGCTACATTATAGGTGAATTTCAGTACCACATTGCACTACAGGCACTGCTAACACATCTTCGTTACATTATCAATAGAAGTATAAAGAATGCAAAGATTGATGCCTAGGCTTAAGGGGCCATGTGATAGGGGAATGGAGAGATAGCTCCAGTGTCAAGAGCAGCACTGGCTGCTCATCCAGAGAACCAGGCACTTACCGGGTGGCTCACAGCCTATCTCCTATTCTAGAAGAGCCAGCATTTTCTCTTGGCCTGTAAGAGTATTGCACTCCCATAGTACATAGACATATATTCGGGCAAAACACCTATACATATAACATAACATAAATAAATAAATTTTTAAGTTGTCCATCCTATTTATTTACACTGTACTTGGTAATTCAGGTTTAACAAAATATGAGCTATATTTAAAAATACATTGTTGGAATGCATGGATATTTGCGAAATTATTTTTAAAGGTACATTTTCTTCTAAATTATCATTTATGCAACCTAGAAAAATGCCTGTTTTCCCCTGACCATAATAGAATAAAGCATGTGAGAGACAGTTGTCTTGAGGCTTTACGGCAGCAGGATCATACCCATTATTGTCTGTGACAATTTCTTGGTCTCACTTTTAGTTATAAACAGATGTGGTCTTAACTATTTTCCTTATGTGTCTGAAGCTTGTTCCTTTCTTGATTAAATCTGCTTACGTTAGCTGTAGACACACGTACATCATCTTCAGAGGCACTGATGTCTTTTGGCAGCCTTTTGTAGAATCATCCACCTCTGCATTGGTACCCCGCCCCAGCACTCTTGTACCGCTCCCCCCCCCAGCACTCTTGTACCGCCCCCCCAGCACTCTTGTACCGCCCCCCCCAGCACTCTTGTACCGTTCCCCCCCCAGCACTCTTGTACCGCCCCCCAGCACTCTTGTACCGCCCCCCAGCACTCTTGTACCCCCCCCACCCTTTTTCCCCCCCCCCCCCAGCACTCTTGCTGTGCTCATCAAGTTTAGCTGATGCAGCGAGCAGAGCCCCACATCAGTACTTCATGCTCGCCAGATTAGATTGAGCTCTTTTTTCTGCCTGGGTGGCTTTCTTGCAAACGGTGACTCCTGGGTGTCAGTCGACCTCCTCTGCAGACATATCTAGGATCATAGCCCTACTTAGCTGCCAGAGAGGCTGAAATGTGCTTTAGCTCACAGACTCTGCCATGCCTTCCTTACCACTGTGTGTCATCAGGATGGTGCACAGAAGAGAAGGTGGACCCTCATCAGTACATCGTTTGGTGGTGGCTTCCTCTAGAATTCATGTTTTGCAAAGCAACCATCTCCCTTGACCACTTGGTGTCTCTTCATACCTGAGATTACTTCTCTTGGGACACTTGTCCTTTTTCATCCCTCTTGCAGAGAAAGAAATATGTTGATATAATAGCACAGAAGATATTTTATCTTCATAAAAGCTAAAAAGAATGAAGTAAGAACCACATTTAAGTGTGCTCAGCTTTGTTTTACTAGTAATATCTTCTTAACTTTCTGTTGACCTTCTAACTAAACTTAATGACTTGATTAAAGTTGTACTCAGCTATGTGGTTTGTAAAAGGCTGAATGTATTGCTCCAGCTATTTTACTGAATGTCAGCATAGTTGTAGTCATACCTTTTCATATTTAAAGATTCTTGACTCTTCTCTGTGTAAAACTGTGTATGTCTTCACCAAAATAAGAATATTTACCTTTCCTCATTTTACCTTAGGCTCTTGGCTTTCTCTATGCCTCTGGACTTGGTGTTAATTCAAGTCAGGCAAAGGTAACGTTATTGAAGTTTTACTATATATTAAATTTGGAATTGAATAAGCCCTGGCCTGTGTTAACTTACATATCTGCTATTTCATAGGCTCTTGTATATTATACTTTTGGAGCTCTTGGAGGCAATCTCATAGCCCACATGGTTTTGGTAAGTGTGAACTTTAAGACAACGTACATTAAAAGTTAAAATCTGTGTTTGCAGTAGCCATAAGTTTCCCAGTCTTTCTGACTGAGATTTGGTTACAATCAAATCCTCAGGTGGACAGCCAACAAATTTTTGTCAATGGCTATAACATGAATAAAAGTTTATATAAATTAGAATTGTTTATCAGAATGATTTTTTGATTGGATTATCAGAGATTTTGCATTTAAATTAATGAAGGACCTACTATGCAAAACTGTCCTATAAAGGACCCTTGCAAGTATCTGTATATAAACTGATAACATTAATCACGTACATCACTTAGTGATGCGGAATCTGTCCACCAATTTCTTTTTGTGTTAAGGGCCTTAAGTATCTTATATGTTCAATTTGGGATAGGTCACATGACCTGTGATACATGATAGATATTATGGTTTAAATGAGTATAAGTTCCTTGTTGCAAGAATGTAAAGGCTGAACTGAGTGAACATGAGACTCAAAGCAGAAAACCAGTTCAGCACCGAGAAAGGCTCCAGATTCGGTTACTGACGAGACAGACAAGAATGGTATAGTTTTCCAGCCATCCGGGAAATCATAGATAATTTCCATAGTCATCACTGAGTGATTGTCAGGATCAAATTAGATGTCTAGTAGACAGACAACCTGAAGAGTAGAGTGCTGGGAGTTGATAAGCAGGGCAGATAACAGCCAAGTTGTGCCCAGGAACTTGGGCCCTCTCTGTCCTGGGCTCAGCCGCTGAAGGAATGGAAGGGAATGGAGAGCAGAGATGCTGGGCTTCCTAAACGTCTCTCCTCTCTGATTTCATTGTTGTCTTTGTTTAAGCTAGGGTACCGCATCTCAGAGAATGGCTGAAAACCACCTTCAGATAAATTTTTTAGGTAGTTTTTTTTTGGGGGGGGTGGTTTTGTGGGTTTCTTGTTTGCTTGTTTTGGTGGTGTTGTTGCAGTTTTTGAGACAGGGGTCTCCATAAGTAGCCCCAGCTGGCCTGGAACTCCTTAGAGACTAGGCTAGTCATAAACTCAGAGAGATCCACCTTCCTTTGCCACCATATCTAGCTCTGATAAATTTTTAAGAAACATGAAACAATTTTGTGTGGCAAATATATACGAAATGCTTTAAATTACCAACTTTTTTAAACAATGGCTGTAGAATCAGACCATGTTATGCATATGGCTCTATAGTAGTGCAGCAAGGACTGCTAAAGCTTATGAAGTTTTGAGTCCATTCAAATTTCAGACAACTCCTTCCTGCTCCCCCATTCCACCCCGCCCCGTCAATCTGTAGTCATTTGTTAATGGTGAGAACACCGTGTTCTTGTTATGGTGATGTCTAAAATAAGACTGACAGTGGTTCTGAGTGAAAACTCGATGAGGACTGTGACCACGCTTCGTTCATGAAGTTCATGGCAGTCACGTGATTGCTCTAGGAATGTTCTTGTCTCGTGCTTAGCTATAACCTGCTTGTTGGAGTGTGTGGATTGAAGGAGAGCAGAATTATAGTCTGAGTATGGTTGACTGTATGTGTCACAAGAACACCGTGGTGCTGTTGTCTGCTCACACAAGGGTGTCTTACAGGGTTACCGCTACTGGGCCGGCATTGGAGTCCTCCAGAGTTGTGAGTCGGCACTGACCCATTATCGCCTTGTTGCCAATCATGGTACCTATCTTGTTTTTATCTTTCACGCTCTAGAAAAAAATAATATAATTAATTTTGAGTATATATATGTTTTGGTTGTAGTAGTTCAAATATTGTAAATGACTCTTTGAATTGAACTTACCTTTTAACTACTTTAATTATCAAGAAAGACATTCCTTTCACCACTTTGTTCTTAAACATTTGTAGTAGAAGTCTGGTTTATTAATGGGTTGTTATGTAGACTGCTACAGAAATGGTACCATTAGCGCCATGTCTGTCCACATCTGCTTGCTGCAGTTGTGGACCTGCTCCTCTGTCTTCACCTCACATTCCTGTTTGTCCTCCTCTGACAGTTGCCAGCGATATCTCCCTAACTGGAGGCTCTGTGGTCCAGAGGATACGGCTGCCTGATGAAGTGGAAAACCCAGGGATGAACAGTGGGATGCTGGAAGAAGATTTGATCCAGTATTACCAGTTCCTAGCTGAGAAGGGGGATGTCCAAGCACAGGTGTGTGTTAGCATCAGGCCATCTCTTGCTGCGTGGGCGGCTGGGGGGGGGGGGGCCCCAAGACCCCCATCTGTAAGTAATGTTGTCTTTGCTCTGAGTAATTATTAGCTTTATCCTAGATCACCAGTGGATCTTTTAGAAAAAGAACATCCCACACACTCAACACTTTTTTCCTATTAAAATCACAGCTGTTTGAGATACATGCAAATAAGTACTAAGAATAGTTTTAAAGCTCAGAGAAGGAAGTCTTAAGTTAAAACTGTAGTGAATAGCAGATCTGAGTGTTACTCGTGGAAGTTAGAATACAACTGTCCTGTCCATTTTAAAAGTCTTCCTTTCGCACTGGGGTATACTTTATTTTAAATGTTTTCTGCTACTTGCTTCCTTTATCTTGCTTTTCTACATTCTCTTTCCTCTGCTTTCTTGGCCTTGTTTTTGGTGGTTACTGCTGTTGCCTCTCCTCCTCCATGACCCGGACAAATGGGCCTTCTTTGTGTTACTTAGAGATGCCCACACAGCTCTGCCTTTAGTCTAATGGATAGACACGTTACCATCCCCGGGACAACACCGAGACTGTAGACTGTGCTGAGCATGTTGACTTCTGCATGGTTTTGTGAACCTCACATTTCTCTTTTATACAGCACATTCTAGTTTAAATTTACTCGTGGATTTGTCTTTTCTTGTTTTTATTTCTTCATGTCTAAGCTTCTTGGATAATTGTCTTCATTCACTTAAGAACATCCTTTAGTATTTCCTTTAGAGCATGTTCACTGAGTTAAGTATAATTCATCTAAAAACCTTTTAGGAACCAAGGAGGGTGATGCCTCGATAGATATAACACTTGTTGTACAAGTGTGAGGACCAGAGTTCATGTGCCCAGAACCCACACAAATGCCAGGTGGGTGTGGTTCCTGCCTGCAGTTCTAGCTCTCAAAAGGCAGTGACAAGACCCCCAGAGCAAGCTGGCTGGCTAGGGTGATCTTGTTGGTGATCTGTGGGTTCAATTGAGAGGACTTGCCTCCGTGAATAAGATAGAGAGCAATTGAGGAAGAATCCTTCAGGCCTCCACCTGCATACATGTGCTCTTACATACATGTGAACATACACACACTCACAAACACTGCATGTGTGTACAAAAGAATGCTGTTTGCTTCAAAAGAATGCTGTTTATTTTCAAACATGCCTTTTTAGTTCTTGATAATTTTAGGATAATTGAAACAGAATAGATACTCAGGATTATAGACTAGGTTTCTAGTCTTTTGATTACTAAACAGAGCCTTTTTACAGCCAACTCTGGGCCTGATTTTAATTGTATGGCAGATGCTCACTTTCACATTTATGTCGTTTTGTTGCGTTTCAGGTTGGTCTGGGACAGCTGCATCTACATGGAGGGCGTGGAGTAGAACAGAATCACCAGGTAATCGCCCAGTAGTAAGGCTCTGCTCACAACGTAGCGGAAATGGTGCGGTGTGGATATTCTTTGTAAGTCAGGCTTATTAGACATCTGTCACTCGTGAGCTCTCAACACCTGCCTGATGACTGAGAGACACATGAAAAGACGTCAGAAAGACCAGTGTCTGTCTGTCTGTCTGTGTCATGTGTGTGCAGATACCAGTGCAGAGGCCTGAAAAGGGTGTCAGATACTCTGAAGCTGGATTACAGGCGTGAGTGCTGGAGAGTGTACGCAGGTCCTGTGGAAGAACGCAGCATGTGCCCTCAACTGCTGAGCTATCTCAGATTGTACTACTTTTAAACTTAGCTTAGTACTGCCCAAACACATAGACACTTCTCGATTTCTTTGTTGTTGTTAAGTATATAGTAGAGTAAATCTTGGACACCTTTTGGGTCTGGAGAGATGGCCAGCAGTTAAGAGTGCTTGCTGCTCTTACAGATAACCTGGGCTCTGTTCCCAGCACCTATGTCCACAGTTTAGAGCTGCCTATAACTCCGGTTCCAGAGGATCTGACAGTCTTCAGGGCCCTGCAGTTACCCACACTTAGGTACACATACCACACTCAAGACACGCACACATACACATACTCGAAATTAAAAATTAATTTTTTTCAAAGAGCAAAAGGAAGCCATTAAAAAAGACAACTTTTAAAAACTATAGGGCTGAGGAAGATGTTATTTATTAAAAATCAGAAGCATACAACTATCCAGACTGATAGAGCTACTTACTGAGTTTTACCTGCTTTCTGTCCTAAATGACTCATCTCTTCCCGTCTCTCCATTATACCTGTTACTCGAGTGAGTCACCTGTCACCTGCAGTTTCTGTAAACCCAGCATCTGATCCTTTGTTCACCTAGAACTTCCCAGTGCTCTGCGGGTTCCAGCAGCTTAAAGATTTGCCGTTTAACATGACCTCCAAGACCTCATTCCTGCCCCTACCTCTCCAGTCCCTTGCTAAGTCACAGCACACAGAATTTTCTAAGGTCTTTGAACCTATTGAGAGCCTCTTTCTCATGACTACAGTGATGTCAACCCTCTCTGTGGTGACTGTCACCCCAGCTGCTTTGCTCATACAGTAATTCCTACCCATTAGGTAGTAATTCCTACTCCCTTAGCCCCATCCCCACTCCAGAGAAAGGTCACATATGACAAAGGATGCCTGAAAAATAGTGCTCTCTGTGATCCTTGTCCAAAGCAAATTGGTTGGTTACCTAACCTTTTTCTGTGCTGCAGTGTAAGTTCAAGAGAGCACAGTCTGCCTTGCTACCCCTTTATTTCAACCCCCAGCAGAGCCTAGCTCATAGGAAGTTCTCTAAAAGTATGTGTCAAATCTACAAAACTCTTATTTTGCTGCCATACCAGTTAACCATGCCAAGTAAAGTTATTTCACCTTTAAGAATGAAATTGTCACAAAAACACTTGTCACTCACCGTGCCAAGTGCCTGTGGGTTTTAATCGGGCAACTGCTTGTCTCTTGGTCACTAATGTATGCTGTATGCTGCTATTTAACAAAATAATGAGAGTGTAGGATTCTGTGGTAGTTTGCCCCAGAGCTCTTACGTAGTGAGAGCTGGGAGTGTTCTTATGCTGTGTACTGCTTCCCTTAAAGCAACTCCACAATGGGAGGATATTTCACCAGCCTCACAAGAGAAAGAGAAGTATTTTCCAGCACATGTTTACATTAATTCAACAAACATTTCAGTTCCTACCACATGCCAGTCACTGCCAGGTTTTCTGAATACAGTACTGAACGGAAAGCTTTGGTCATTGTCCTTACTGGAGTTTCAAATCCAGTGGGATATTGGTTCCTTTCTAAGTGACTGCACCAACAAATAGCAAGCATTCAAAGTTGTCGTAGCTGTTTCCAAGTAGAATCAAGGGCTGTAATAAGTAAGGGAGGGAGATCCAGCTGTCAGGGAAGACTTCCCAAGGGAGAAGGAGTTGGCATGTTGACACTAGAGGTAGAGCCATTCCAGGGTGAAAGGAACACTGTGTGCCCTGGCCCTGGAGCAGAAGGGAACAGGGCTGGTATGGCCGTGGTGTTGACATCATAAAACATAATGTAGTTCTGAGACAGGTGGCGCTTGTTACCGGCTTAACCTCTGTACTAAGGGACTCTTACAGCCGGCATGCTCAGATTTGAAAACGTTGACTTTTGCTGCCATGTGCAGAATGAGTTAGTAGAATCCCAAAATACAGTCAGTCAGGGAAACCAAAGAGAAGACTATTCCAGAGGTTCATGTGAAAGAAAATATAATGTGTAGTAGAGCCATGGTACGGGCAGTTAGTAGAGGGATTTGACATATACTTTGTCAGTTCCGTGATTAGACTAGTTTGGCGCCAGAAACAAATTTCTAAGTTGCCAGCATCTAGATGGTATGTGAAACCATGGCGTAGATAAGGCTGCTTAGAGAGCATAAGTGAGAATGGTGTCATCGGTTGCCCCTTGAAGAACTTAAGTATAGAGAGCAGATGAGAGAGTAAGAACTAGCAAAGGTGGCTGCGGATGGCGCAGGTACAGATGAGATTAAGGAAGGCAGGAAAGGATGCATGTGAAGCCGAGCTAAGTAGTGTTTCCAGAGAGTGAGGTAGTCTCCATCAGATACCGCAGAGAGATGTACTGAGAGAAGAGGCTTCTGCTCACCGAGAGGTTATTGGTAGCTTCAGGAGCTCCTTTCTGAAGTAGTTGGTGGAAGGCACTCAAGCGTGTAGAGTGGAGTGGAGTCCCGAGAGGACCCACTGGGAAGCTGCGCTGTGAGTGAAGTCGCGAATGGGTATCCATCCCACTGAAGAGGAACTGAAACTCAGGAGAAAAAAATGCATCTTGTATGGTTTTGGTAATTTTTTTATTAATAGATTAGGAGACTTTACTTTAATAAAGAGATTAGAAAAGGAAGAGATTAAATCATCTACAGGAGTGAGAAATAACCAGTGATATAAGATCTTAACAAAAGTGAGCTGTGGTAGCATTGAGTTGTGAGGAATGGTAATGAAGATCTTTCAGCACCAGTGGGTTTAGTTAAGTGACTTTAAATACAGCCAAAAAACTTTTTCTAAGTAATACGAAAGGGAATTGTTTTCCGGAATATGCCCAATATCTTGGGAATGTCTGTTAGAGTATTTTTGTTGTTGTTGTTTGGGTTTTTTTGTTTTGTTGTATTTTGTTTCTTTTCTCCCAGGTATGGCTAGTAAAGTAGACAGTTGAAGCTGAGCTGCCTAAAGCTTATTTACATTGCCTGTAATAAAAACGTCCTCTTACCTGGGAACTGTAGGGAACACAAGACATTTACTTGTGGTCATAAAAACTTCTAGGTACATGCATTTCTGCCTGAAATTCTGTTAACTGGATATTCTTGTTTTTTAAGCTTGACAAGATCTTTTTTTTCCTGATTTTCCTGAAATAAGTGTTTTGGTTAGAAACTAATTATTTTTATGAATTTTTCTTTCACAGAGAGCGTTTGACTACTTCAACTTAGCAGCAAATGCTGGTAATTCCCATGCGATGGCCTTCCTGGGAAAGGTACTGTGTACCCTGCAGTCTGTCGTGTAACAGCTATGCACGTGTATCGCATCCTGTCTCCATGCAGTGCCGTGTGAGCACTCTCAGACTGCTTAGATGCAGTGTAGTGCTTACTTCTAAGTGATTCACTGTCTGAACTCCTACTACTGTATCAAGTATATGTAATGATGAGGGCTCCAGACTGTGTTATATACGGGGTTTTGCTAAGACTCATAGTTGTCTGCTTCTTTTCATGCGTGCATGAAAGAACATTTTTGGCATTTGTCTGCAGATCTTTTCATTGCCTTAAAATACAACAGCTGTGAGCATCTTTCCATGTAGTTTTTTGTGGAGCAAGAAAACAGTTACATCTAAAAACTAATGAATAGATTCTGTGTCTGGGAAGGATTCCCTTTTCATCATTTTAACATTAATACAGGGTAAACTGACAGTTGTTCATGTATAACCAAATCCTAAGGTAAGGAAGTTCAGGTGGAGTCTAAGGATTTTACAGATAAGAAAATCTCATCCAGACTTACCACACGATCACAGCCAGCTCCCTGGGAGCTGGAACATTGTGAGCAAGCGTTCCAGTGTTGTATAGTATGAACCGTGTAGGTGCTATGGTGGTGAGGATCCCAGCCTTCCAGCACCAGAACACAGGAATCTTTTTTTCTTCATCTGTTTTTGTTAAGAATTTAAAATCTCTTTATTTCCAACAGTTTTACTTTTTCTTTGTTACTAATTAACCCTAGATCTAAAGGCAACCTTAGTGTTGTTTCCTTAATGTCTTCTATGAATGAGAAGCAATGTTGGCATTTGTTTTCCTTTCTTTGAAAGTCTTATCTGATCCTGTAATTAGTTAAGTGTTTATACCTTGTTAAATAACTTTTTAGTTACATGTTGTTTGTGTCTGTGCACACATGGAATACGTGTGTGTAGGTGTGCATGCACAGGTGTGTGCTTGTATATAGAAACCAGAAAATAGTCTTGGGTATCATCCACCATATTTTTGAAACAGGCTCTCCCACTGGCCTGGAACTTAATAAGTAGGCTGGATTAGCTGCCCAGCATACAGACACAAGCAAATGTAATTTTTAAAAATGTTTTAAGAGTTCTTGAGGCAATCATTAACCTGTTTTCTATATTCAAGTCTATACCTAAATCATATATTTAATAGAATACCAAATACTTAGAAATATGTACGTATTTACCAATAAATGTTTGCTTTAAATTCTACACTTTTCTGTAGAGAATTCTAAACTTTGTGGAATAATTCCATGGGAGCTAATAAAAATGAGATGAGAAATGGAAACAAAAATGGACAGAGGGTAACAAGTTCACCTGAAATTGGGGTCTGTTTTCCAGATGTATTCTGAAGGAAGTGATGTCGTACCTCAGAGCAATGAGACAGCACTTCACTACTTCAAGAAAGCCGCTGACATGGTGAGTCTTCCCGACTCAGTGTGTTGACCCCTGTGTGTGACCAGTGGTTAGTGAGAGGACTGTGTCAAAGGATTAGTCCTGGCCGACCCATACCCCTAGTTATTGGAAGTGCTCACATATACCCGATGAGCTGACTGGAAAAGCTTTCCCAGTAAAAGTAGTTTCTGTTTTAGGAACTAGGTGGATGGATGTTAAGTCTGCTTAAGTTTCTTTAAAGTATTTCCTAATCAGGAGAGTACCGGTTTTTTGCAATGAAATTGGGAGTTGCATACCCTACCTCAGTTGTACTGCAGTTTGAAAACTGCAAAATCTAGTTCCACCGACAACCATGATACAGTTTAGACTTTCTTTGACCCAGAAAACACACACACACACACACACACACACACACAGAGATACTTAAGATAAGACTGTCTGCTTCCTGTGTGTGCACTGACCTCTGTCCATCTATGTATTACTGTGTATTGCTGCGCATCACAGCTTCAGTTGAGTGTTTTCCTATGGGATGCTATGACACATTTTTTTTAAAATGTCATCTATCCCTCCAAGTTTGGGTGAATTCTAGAATTTTCTGTTTTGCATCTCAAAATACTGTCACTGAGCTAGTCTTAAGTATCATTGCTGCTGTTAGTGCATGACTGTCTGCTCTGCTCCATAGCGCTGTCCTTCCTTTTCTGTTAGGACAGGAAGTGGCCAGTGACTCAATAACCCAGATGTGACCTGCTTTTAATTTTGGTGAAATATATTAGTCATATTTGTGTCCTAAATCCATGGTAATGATGGTCATAAGTCAGGTCACAAATTTGATCCTGGAGTCATTTAATGTTTTAGTCTTTGATAAACCTCTGTGTCTAAAAGTCCAGTTAAGTTTACTCTAAATGGAAAGAAGAAGATTGTTTTTATTGGAAATTAATTAAAACCTATTTCAATATGCTTCAGATTATTTCCTCTGCAGTCATTTATCCTCCCTGTGTTGTAATGAGCTCTTTCCCCTGTTGTCTGATTTCTCTGTTTTACAGGGCAACCCTGTGGGACAGAGCGGGCTTGGAATGGCCTACCTCTATGGACGAGGAGTTCAAGTTGTAAGTGTGTGTGTGGCATGCTGAGTTTAGGAAACAGGCAGCCAGTGCGGGCTGGAGGTATTCCTTGAATAGCGCCCCGTTCAGCCCGGCAGAGCATCATTGCAGCAAGCCCTTTCCTCTCCTGCTGTCTCCAAGTTGGCTTGTTCCCATGCCGTGCCTCACAACTCACTTAACTGTCTTCTTAGGCCAGCTCCATCCCTGGGACCATCTGAGGGCTAGCGTTGTTTCCCATTCTCCGTGTCTGCTTTCTACACTCTGCACTCTTCCCATTCTCCAGGACTTCCTTCCTTGCCCGCTTCCTTACTCAAGGCTAAGAAGGCACTCAAGTCTCCTCTATTTAGAAGAGAGAGGCTTTCCCTTCTGCCCTTTGTTCCTTCTAGCTTCCGCCTCTCTTCTCTCCAGTCCTTCGCTGAAAGCCAAGTGTCTCCAAAGAATGAACCTTAGTAAGCCACTTTAGTTCCTAGTTGTCAGGTTTCTGTCTCATATCCAGGTCACAAGTAACCTCCTAAATGTCAGTGTTATGTCTGCAAGCACTTGTTTGTCCTTGGCCATTGCCTCATGCTAGATGCCCCTGAATCATGATGTTATTCTAACCAACATGCTTTTTGTGTTTGAAACTAAGAGCTGGGTTTTTTAAACTTACCTATATGTATTCCCAAACATAAAAGATAGTGATACCTTTGACCCCTGATCATTAGGATATTAAAATTCAGAGTAATGTATTTTAATTTGTCCTATGGTTACATATGATCTGTGGGCTTTAAGAACATAGCATCTTGTAATGTACACGGGAAGGGAACAAACAAGGAGAAAATAATATTCCTTACCTAATATTAGAAAAATTAAGTTTTAAAGGGATAAGGTGATTAGTAAAAAGTTTTCCTTAATTCCTACTCTAGTATTCTATTTGTGTTTATGCTTTCTGAGAGCAAACATAAATTGGTTCACAAAACTCTTACTTGCTTTTCTTCTAAATATGAGACCGTGACTCCCCTGTAACCTGAAGCATTAATGGCTATTTTTTAAATCATGAAATGGTCTTTTAAGAATATGTATACTTATTCTTACAAAGAATGAGTACTTCCAAGCTTATCAGTCTTTTGTGCTTTCTTACCATTTGACATCTTGTTCTGCAGAATTATGACCTGGCACTCAAGTATTTCCAGAAAGCTGCTGAACAAGGCTGGGTGGATGGGCAGCTGCAGCTTGGCTCTATGTACTATAGTAGGTATCTTTGTAGAATTAATGATGAATATAACAGTCTAAGCTTGTGTTCCACCAGATGGCACTATATATATAGAATGGGATACTCGATTTTGGTGAATTAATATTTTACCAGTTCGATGATTTATACATATCATTTCTCATTACAATTTATATTAATCGACATTAATATATTAATCTGCAGTGGTGAGATTGAAATGTATCACTCTGTAAGAATCCCGACTTTCACCAGGTTTATTCCTCTTGGAGAAAGTTTCTCTGCTGTGTCACTAAATCCTGTGTAAGACTCTGCTCGCCTTTCATTGGCTTTTGTTTCCTTTGTCTTGCAGATGGCATTGGAGTCAAGAGAGATTATAAACAGGCCTTGAAGTATTTTAATTTAGCTTCTCAAGGAGGCCATATCTTGGCTTTCTATAACCTAGCACAGATGCATGCCAGCGGCACAGGGGTGATGAGATCCTGTCACACTGCGGTGGAGGTGAGGGCTTTTCTGCAGCCTGGCTGTAGGAAATGGCTTTGCCCACTGGGAAGGCCTGCCTTTTCCATTCTGGTTCTCTTGACCTGATTCCGTCCACAGTAGACGCTGACTCTGCTCACTGGAATTGATATTCTGAAGGAAACTAGAGATGTATGCATTCTGTCCTCCTTACTTTTTGGTTCCTGTAATAAGCAGTGTTTGTGAAGCTGAGTGTTGGTACCAGCAGTGGAGTATGAGATACCTAGTATCAAACTAAAGAGTACAGGAAGGAGATATACAAAGGGCAAAGCAGCATCTCCTAATCTCCAGCTTCTCTTCAGCACTCACACCTATCATTGGAGGGATGCTGATAACGTTTAGCACGGTTTTGGAAATCTTCCTTTGCTTTATTTGGTGTCCTCACTTGTAAAATGGAGGTGTGATAGGGCTCACCTCACAAACAACTCAGGTAGAAGAATGTGCTGAAACCTGTGCTACACAGAAATCACTAGAATAGCTCCTGACCACAGTAAACAATGTGTTGGTTGCTGTTATTTTTTGCAGTGTGTTTGCTTCTAAAGGGTACTTAGAAAGTCATGCCAGAAAGTCATGGAGCAGAGTTAGTCACCTATGCCCAGATGCAAGTTTATTTTCTAGACATACATGTCATTTGCTCTTCCTCTGTTCACAGTTGTTTAAGAATGTGTGTGAGCGAGGCCGCTGGTCAGAGAGGCTCATGACTGCCTACAACAGCTATAAAGACGGGGACTACAATGCCGCAGTGATCCAGTACCTCCTGCTGGCCGAACAGGGCTATGAGGTGGCACAAAGCAACGCAGCCTTCATCCTTGACCAGAGTAAGGTCCACTTTGGTCCAATAGCAGGTTTAACTGCACTCAGCAATGTATTTTCAAAATGAAAGGAATACAGAACTGCCTTTTCCTCATCCAAATCCCCAGACTCGTCTCAGTGTCTGGCTATGGCCAAAACTGGCTCCAGGAAGTAGCATCTTCCTGAATCAGTAATTCCTTTAAACCCAGTATCTTCTAATATTTATTTACTCTTCAGACTAGCTTAATTTCATATTTGCTGTGCTCCATGTAGTCATTCTAGATTGCAAATGAAAACCCTTCACTTTTGTTTCCTGTCTTTCCTGCAGGGGAAGCAACCATTGTAGGTGAGAATGAAACTTACCCCAGAGCGTTGCTGCATTGGAACAGGGCCGCCTCACAAGGTGAGTAACTGATCATCATCAAGAGAGTCTTACCCAGGACCCCTCCCTCTGTTGATTTTCATCTCATGAACCCTCAAAGATACCGTTGCTTTCCTTGCTTGTGACAAGTCTTCATTCTTAAATGAGTAGTTGAGGTGCCAGTCCTTGACTGGACATTTCCATCACCATTTGGTTTTTAGCTTCAGGCCAGCTAATTGTATAAATGGAGAACTGAAGAATATGTAATAGAATACCGACCTGAACTGGAAAAGAACTCTTAACCTTTCCTACTTTTTCTTTAACTTATTTTCCTCACATACTTCTCTCCACATTAGGCGTCTCCTTCTCCAGCCCTACACAGCGCTCAAGTTGAACAGTCAATTTAGACTTAAATGACTTGATAAATGGAGCATGGTCATTTAAAGGTGCCATCAGTGAGACACTACCACCCACCTGGTTGACTTCTCTGTGAAGAGATAATGTCTAGTCTACATGCTTACTGGCTTTAGGACTTGGCTGGGGGATAATTTAAAGCTTTCCTACTACAGATGAAAACTCTGGTGTATATAAGCCCGTTTAAAAAATAAGTTTGATTTGTTTTAAGCACACTTAAAACAGCAACTTAGCATTTAATTTTGTTTCAGGTTATACTGTGGCCCGAATTAAACTTGGAGACTACCATTTCTATGGATTTGGCACTGATGTGGATTACGAGACTGCATTTATTCATTACCGCTTGGCTTCTGAGCAGCAGCACAGTGCCCAAGCTATGTTTAACCTGGGCTACATGCATGAGAAGGGCCTAGGCATTAAACAGGTGAGTGTGGCATCAAAACTTAGTGTTGCTAAGACAAGGGGAGATGTTTGCACTGCTGTGTTCCGGACAGCGCTGCCTGTTGGTAGCCTCTTGTTTCAGGAACTATATCCACCCTCAGTCAGTGCCATTGCTTTTGAATCATTTTGAAATGGATTAAAATCTTTTGTACTGATGAACTTTTTTTCTGATACCTTCATTTTCTTTAGAATGACTCTAAGTCCTTGCCTCTCTATCCCAAAAGAATTCTGAGAATATTACTACTTGTACACTTTAGATAAACACTACAATAAAAGTTCAAGTATTCAGGAAAGGAACGGGTTGAGCTTTTGAGAACAAGTAATCAAATACAAAGTTCGCAGTAACTCCTATGTGGCATGACTTTTTAAGGTCCTAGTCACCATTTCCATTTCCCTCCTACTTTGAGAATGAAGGAGACATTTATACTACTGAAAACTAATTGGTGCAGCTGACCATGGTGGTACATGCTGTAATTCCTGCAGGGGGAGACAAGAGGTCAGGTCAAGGTCTTCCTCAAGAACACACCTACTTCTTTCCAGTCTGGGCTACATGAGACCCTGCCTCAAAACAGCAGCAACCCCAAAAGTCAGTCCAATACCAAGTAAATTGCTACTAAAGTATGAAGATTGATGATGATTGGAAAATAAAATTCAGGATGTGGTTTGATATGATTGAAATACCCTGTTAAATCATCTATATCATAAAGTTGGATCCAAGGTCTTGAAAGATTCAGTTGTCAAAAAATGTTTAAATTGCTTATTTTTAATTGGATACTAACTATATTCTTATTATTAATTGAAAGGGCTTTTCTTTTTAATGACACATTTGAGGGCTGAGAATAAGGACTAACTGAAAGTCACTGCTTCTGTTTAAATCTGTGTGTGGAGGGTGTAGTTTCTGGTGTTCTCCTTCCTTTCCCATGTGTAATAGCATTCTGTCCTGTAAGTTTAACATTCTTCAGAGCTCCCATCATCCCTGTCCTGCGTTCTGAATCCTGAACCCTCCATCCTGGGGTCACCGTTTCCAGAAACATTGTAGCAAGACTCCCTGTGGTGGTTTATATCAGTCAGCAGGAGAGCCTCCTTCTACGGCAGCAGCAGCATAGCAAGGTGCCTGCCTAGACGTAGTGATCTCTGAGGAAGGACTGGGTCTGTCAGGCTGAGCCATCCTTTCCAGAGACAGGTTACATGTTGACCCCAGACATTTCTGTCTTAGAAAAACACATAGCAGAAGTTGAGAGATCCTCAAATAGATTCCCATACTTCTCTAGAAAGGATCGGCTGGAGATTCTCAAAGATCCTACCCCTATGAACTAAACCAGAGATTCTTACACTGTCTAAAGTGTTATGTGAAATATTAGCTTGAAACTTAGAGGCTTTCCCTGGAAATGTCGAGGTCAGCAATATTTTGTGTCAGGTGTTTGCCTGAATCCAGTGTGTCTACACGTAAAATCTGATGTTACATTGGAAGAAATGGGTTGTATTTTCCAATTCCTGATTTTAAATTTTCAAAATTATTTAATTACTGAAATTTTACCCAGGTAAAGCTTTGGGTTTTCCTTAGATAGTGGGCATTAATTTTAAATAGAATCTTGAAAGGTAGGACAACTTTTCTGAAATAAAATAAATGCTTTTTGTATATTTTGGCAAGAATGAGTTTTCCTTTGTTTTTTGCACTGTAGGATATTCACCTTGCAAAACGCTTTTATGACATGGCAGCCGAGGCTAGCCCAGATGCACAAGTTCCTGTCTTCCTTGCACTCTGCAAATTGGGTGTCGTCTATTTCTTACAGTACATACGGGAAGCAAATGTAAGTGAGCTGCGTCTCTTTTTTTTAAAAAGTACAGATTATGTCACTTTTTCGGGCCTTGAGGCTAAAAAAAAAAAAAACAAAAAAACAAAAGAGTCCCAGGTAAAGTGCAAATAATTTGCCCGGTGGGGTGAGCTGTAGACCAGGCAGCCAGCAGAGTTTTCAAGTAGCACTTCCCGGTGTCCTTAGCATAAGCGCTTGTCCTTGGTGCCCATGTTTTCTTGTCCAGGGACAGCTGAGCGCTAACTCGACACTTTGAAACAGTAATAAAAATTACGTCAGGCCCATGCCTGGCAGGCAGACATCAATACCATGAGAAGAAAAAGATGGAGGGAAGTCTGAGAGCTGAGTCTCTGTTCTTCTGATTCTTCCAACAGTGAGACAGAAGTTAAAAAGGCCACAGCCTTCTTCTCTGAAATAGCCTGACTGCTTATGGCTGATAGAGCCACCTAGGCGGTGGCCGCCTGTTCCCCTCCAAGCTCCGCTGTAGTAACAGGGATAGGTGTAGGTGCCCTGGGCTCTGCACTTAGGTTTCTCCGGTACTCCGTTTGCTCCATAAACACTCCATGTGCTGAGCCCTTGTTAAGAGCCATTCACCTTTAGTTCATTCCAGACTGAAGGGTGATGTTTAACTCTTCAGTGGCTTTGAGAACAGGTGACGTGCTGCTCTGTTAGACTTACCCTTCCACATTACAGATTTAAAAGTGAGCAGTGCTCCTTCCCCACTCACACAGGAAATGGGCTTCTCTCCTTCTGCCACTTGAACCCACACCACTGAGGTCCTCCACACGATTCGCAGAACCCAGGACCCCTTATACCCTGTCCACCTGGTTTCTTATATATGTATAATGTCACTCATTGGAGTTCCTTGGTAGCATGAGCCAGTGCACTGTAATTTCTGCAGCTGGCAGTGAGGGCTGGGCTTGGACTCGGGACAGAGCAGTTGCCTGGCTTATACACAGCCAGCGTGAGGCTGTTCTCTGGCTGCCAGGGCTGTCCTAGGCCGTTGTCTCCTGCACTGTTCTTCAGTGCTTGCAGGATGGTGGCATGCCACGGAGAAGATACTTTTGTTGATTTGTTTATACAGATCTACAAAGAGGACAGTAAGATTCTCCAACTGAAACAAAAAAAAAGACCAAAGCAGTCCCAGCCTACAGGGAAAAAAAAAAAACAACACAGTACTAAGTAATGATGCTAAGACAGCCAGACCAGGTTAAAAGGCTCCGAATCCCGTAGAGAGCACCGTAGTTTTCCTTTTTTTTCTTTTCTCTAGAAAATTTAGTGCCTGTGTTTACAAATATGTATTGCAAGAGTTTGGGGCACAGTTTTACAAAACCTCTAGACTAAGGATATAATTTGTCAGTTCAAATTAACGTGTGAAATAGTGTGCATTTCAGTAAAATGTAACCAAAGCCGGGCGGTGGTGGTGCACACCTTTAGTCCCAACACTCAGAAGGCAGAGGCAGGTGGTTCTCTGTGTGTTTGAAACCAGCATAGACTACAATATGAATTCAAGGAGGACAGCCAAGGCTACAACACAGAAAGGAGGACAGCCAAGGCTACAACACAGAAAAGCAATGCCTGGAGGGACGGGGGGAGGTGTTTGCTTAGCCAGTGGACACTGGTCTTGTAGTCTTCAGTTAGGCCGGAGAAGCATGGCTGACTGTTGGGAAAGTGAGTGTTCAGCTGTCACTGTGGGCGGGTTACCTATGCCAGCATGCAGGAGTTTTGGAGTTCTTTTGCCACCTTGGTGATCCTTTCAGATATCTTCTGTAAGAAATAGCTTGAAGTTGCTGCATGAGATTTCTGATGGAAGAATTCACTTAGACATCTGATGTTGTCAATCGTTAGGACATAGCAGCTCGGTTCTTGAGACACACCATTGTGGGTTTCTTCTTAAGAGCTTTAAACCCTTGTAGGAACCATGACAATGTCCTAGAATCCAAGTCTTCAGAGATTGCTGCTCACCACTAGCTCTCATGTAGCAACTTTTGGAGTTTTTTGCCACATTGAAGTGATAATGCTTTCTGTGTTGTTCTCATTAAGATTCGAGATATATTTACCCATCTGGATATGGACCAGCTTTTGGGACCCGAGTGGGACCTTTACCTCATGACCATCATCGCGCTGCTGTTGGGTACAGTCATAGCTTACAGGCAGAGACAGCACCAGGATATACCAGTACCCAGGCCCCCAGGTCCGCGACCAGCTCCTCCCCAGCAGGAAGGACCGCCAGAGCAGCAGCCGCCACAGTAGCAGCCACACGCCCTCCTGGGTCCATGACCACGAGGGAACTGCTTGCTGAGAACACTTGCATTTGATGTAGGGCTCTGGAAGAGGCTCGAAGAAGCATGGGGTCCCAGAAGCTGCTTAGAGCCCGCTGCCTTCCTTTTCAGGGACGAGTAGCTCCCGCTGGAGCTACACTGAATGTTTGCTTCAGTGCCATATGGAATGACAACTCTCAGTGGCTTTCCTTCCTCCTTCTTTTCCTCTCCTTGTTCTGGAATCATAAGACACTCAAGTCATGTCTGCTGTGCCCACCTGTCTCTCCTGAAAGCGTCCTTTTGTCACCCTGTGCGCGCGTGAGTTATCACATCAGTGTCTTCTCGGGTCCCAAGCCTTGACAACCTGGGAAAACTCAGTTAGTTGCAAGTTTAACCATAAAAACATGCTTAAGTCTGAGAATAGAACTTGCCTTTAAGTCAAAAACAGAACAAGCCAAACAAGGCGTCTTCAGGGTGTTTGGGAAAGTTTACCAGCCTACATGCAAGTACACATATATGGCACTTTCTGTATTAAAAGGGATTATTGAGCGGTTTCATGTCCTGGCAGCTGCGACACTTCAGAACAGACTTCCTTGAAGACTGAAAGGCTTTGCTAAAGCATTCTTTGTGAACGTCACTTCTTGTAATGGAATAGAAGTAAAACTCAGTGAATTGACTCCTTGCACTCACATAGGAATTTGCCCCTGCTCCTCAGTGTGATTTGCTTATTGGGTGAGTGTGCAGAGTGGTCCAGAAGCCAGAGGACGGACTCAGTGGAGGAATCGGAAAACAGCCTTAACCGACTTCGGGGGGGGGGATGAGACACACCCTCCCACAAGCTGACACCCTGCTTCCCAGGTTTCGTTTTACTTTTCATTTCTTACTGTACAGAGAACAGAGAACTCTCTGAAAATCTTCAGATGTGAAATTCTAGTTTCAAGATCTGTCGGGCAGTCACTTCCCTTGTAATACTAAAACTCAGATCATTAAGGATGAGTTAGACCCAGTACATGGCGAAAACCAAGGCCTAGGTGTGCCGTTCTGTGTGCTCCGGTAGCTTCTTGTTTCTGACAGTCTTGTGTGGCTGTCATGGTACCGCCCTGCTGTTATAAACGTGAGGAAATCGAGGCTGTCACACTTGAGCATTTCCTGCTATGGTTGATGTACAAACAGTGAGCCTTGAGAACGTCACGTAGTCACCCATATGAAGGAATTAAAGCTGAGGCTGACTTTGGGGTCTGAGTAAGCTCAGATGGCAGCAGCCAGCACCCCAAAGGGAGCTGACACTAGCCTGCTGATGTCACCTTTCCACTTTTCTGCCATCCCTGTCCACCATGAGACCTGTGGAGTGTGTAATGCTTTGGGTTGGGATCCTCATCAGAACTTGGTTTAGTTCATCTCTAATGGACATGAAGGCTTTCATGTGAAGTTGTGTACTTTCGTGTGTGCTGACGGTATTATGGGATACCTGGTAAGCAAACTCTTCTCCAAGATACTTGCCTCCAAATTTGAGGAGGTGGCGACAGAGAAGCCATATGCATAAAAGAAGATCTTTTGAGAAGCATCAAGTGTTTCTCTCAAATATGTAATGTTGCTTTGGGCAGCGCCTATAAATACTAGGGCTTATTTGGTGTCCTGCACTTAAAGATTAGGTGGTGAGTGGTACAGTAAATGGGCTGTCACTGGGGCTGGCGCTGCTGCCTCCTCCTCCCAGCCCCACCCCAAGCCCAGCGTAACCCATGGTGACAGAACTTAGAAGGCCCTGTTTGGAGTTATTTAGGGGAACTGGGTACAGTGGTGGACCAGTAGTCCCAGTTCCTTGTGGGGCTAAGGGAGGGAAATCACTTTAGGCCAGGAGTTCAAGGCAACAAAACAAGACCCAGTCTCTAAAATTAAATAGTTGGGAAACTCTCTAAAGTGACTGTGACTGCTATGGTTGTCCTGTGCCACCCACCTAACAGCTCCTTGGACAACAGCAATTTTCCCTCAGAGAGAACCTGGAGAAAATACTTCTTAAGCTAGCATACACTACCTAAGGCTGGATGGGTCAGTGTGGTCTTGTCCCTCATGCAGCGGACTTACCCCTTGCTGCCCTCTGTTGTTAAGATTGCACATGTTTTCCCTTGGCTTGTTAACACCTTCTCTTTCCAGCCTGGGTCATTTGCACCCAGAAATCTGGATACCATGTGTAAAATAATTCAATTCTTACGGCTTATTTCAAAGACGATCTCAAAACGCTTTGCTCCTGCTCTCTTTCTGCTCAAGGCACATGATACCTAAGCAAATAGGAATTGGGTTTGGTGTTTCTCTTTAAAATAATGCACAGTTCTTACTAATGGCATCCATTTGAATCAAGTGGCAGTAAAGCTAGTTAATGTCAGTGACATTAAGCCAACTCCAGGATTCAGGAGTTTTAGCATTAGGGTTTAGATTTCCAGATAGAGCGTGGCTTCCTTGCTCCCTGTAGCCCACCCCTCCTGCCCCCTTTTGTGGTGTCTGTCCTGTTCTCTGCTCATTCCCTATTCCCCTGTGTGCCTGCCCCTTTGGGTAGCCAGCTGTTTCGGAGTCTCGACACCACAAGTTTTACTTCAGTGGTGTTTTACAAAGGTAAAGTTTTTCTTTTTGTGTTTGAAGTTTTTGTTTCTGATTTCTGGGATTTTTTTAGTTACTAACTGATAGCACAAAAAATAAGGTAAATCAAAGGCTGTTTTTTTTTCAAAAATTTATTAACACTTAAACCAGATTAATGTAAAAATACAAGTCCTAAATCTTGATATTCTTGAAGGTTTGTTATTCTTCTAAATATAAGATTAATTTCTGGCCATCTTTCCACTCCCCTGTCTTGTCTCTACCCTGAGAGGCACTGGAGACCTCCTTCAGGAATCTGGTAATGAGCCCATGACTGGCTGTTCTAGACATAGAATTCTGGTTTTGTTCGACTGGTTGGTTGGGTTTTTTTCCTCCCTTCTCTGCTCCTCATGTTTGCTCTTTAGTGCTTGGGAGCAGGCATGTAGGCTTCCAAAAACGGACCTCAGCTCTTCGTGTGTGTGGCATGTGCACCATTGTCTAATTCCATGTGCGCAACCTTCCTCTGCAGGGATTTGGACTGGCAGGACTCTTCTGGTGGCCCACTCCCTGTCAAGACAGCTGATGTTTGGCAGGGACTCTAAAGTCTAAATATTATGGCCAGAGTTGTGCAGGAAATAATCAGAGCAAAAGAAAACTATTTTATGCAAAAAAATATATTCTCCTCAGTTACTGAGAAAGAAATGTTCCTGGATGCTGTGTTGTCTGGTTTTTAAATGGGTAATGTTCTTTGAGAAGAAGCCAAGTGTCTCTACCCACTAGGGATTTCAAGAAAATTTGAAATAACCCCATATACCAATGATTTGTATCTTAACGAGACTGTTTACACATTTAGAAAACTGATTTTGTATACATAAGAAGGGTCCTTTGGTTATGTGCAGGGAGCCGTTCAGATGCGCTATCTTTACTATTTATTGACGAGCAACCTGACACTATTTCCCTTTTATTTAAAAGAACAATGTTGACATGATCAAAGCATGACCACAATAAATTTTGAGGGAGGTTTTAAAGAGCATAAGCTGGCATTGTGAAGGAACACCATAGTAGACGTTTGTAAATTTATTTTGTATTTAATGGAATGCAGTATAAAGGCTGGTGAAGTGTATTATAATTGTGTAAACAAATCCTGTTAATAGAGAGATGTACAGATTCGTTTTGTACTGTATCTTGAAACTTGTGAAATAAAGATCCCACCTCTGGTTATCCGTCTGTGGTTGTGTGCCCTGCCCAAAGGTCTTCCCATCCAGACTTCTGCTTTAACCTGGGAGAGTCAACATTTCAGTGAACCCTCCTTGAAATTCAGGAACATCATTCTAGAATGCACTCGTCTGGGGAAATTGGAATCTCTCTTTTCTAACATCTGCCCTTCAGATTCTCCTGAATTGAACATTGTCCTATGAAGGACATGAATTTGCCAGGAACTGATAACTATTTGTGGACTCGCTGGTGTTTGGCCTTAATCTGCCTGAGATGTATATAGTAAGCAGGACTTACCTCTTTGTAAGCTGATTATAGTGTCGTTTGCCAGCATATGACTGCATGCTCATCCCTGGTTTTCAAGCGGTCTTGCAGAAACTCAGATACAGTACAATGAAACCTGTTTAAAATAAGATCTAAATAAAGGGGAAACACAAGCAGCAGTAGCTGAGAGTAAGCTGTGTACACACAATCCTAGCCAGGGGTCGAGGGTGTGGCAGTGGGAAAGGGCAGACCAGTACAGTATAAGAAACCCTGAGTTCCATCCTCGGGGGTAGGGGGTGGAAAGCAAGCAAGCCGGAAGAGAGCTATAGGTTTGCCCCTCCACACCCTGGCAGGCGACTGGTCCAGCAAAAAACAATATTAGATCTTTGGGTAAGAGGTCTGTACAATACAGACTGCTACAAAATGGATCACAGTTGCTACTCCAAGGAACACAGCCACCCAAGGTGGCCTTGGCCAACGTAAAAGTGGAGATAGAGACATCAGAATGACAGCCTCTGCAGTCTGCCAGCTCAGCCAGACAGGAGGAGGGGAGCTGTGTGCCACGAACAGCATTACAGCGAAACTCTCAGTCTCTGTTGGCTCTCACAGCCCCTCCCCTCTAACTTCCTGGAGAGCACTAACAATGGCTGCACTAAATTGGAAATTTACTGCTGCTAAGCTGTGGAGTTGACAACTTACCCATCTGCATTTCCCAGATTCTTCTGCCATGGCCTTGCCCACTGTATCCTTTTCTTAGCCATGCATGAACAATCTTAGAAAGTAGAAACTATTTTAAAGAAAATGCAAAAGGAAACATTTTTACTTACTATTTTTCAGAAATATATATATTTTAAAAAAAAAACAACTTTAGACCCTGGTAGCTGAAGAGGATGTTCCTGGGCCACCTCTGCTACAACTTAGAAAGTCAGCAGATTGAACATGAGTACAAGTGGGTCCTGAAAATTCTACCAAACTAGCAATATTTTGTTAATGTTCCATTTTGGACAAAACCATACACCTTTAATTCCAGCACTTGGGAGGCAGAAGCAGGTGGATCTCTGTGAGTTCAAGGCCAGACTGATCTACAAAGTTCCAGAACAGCCAGAGCTATTAAACCAGAGAAATCCTGTCTCAGAAAGACAGACAGAGAGACAAAGGCTGGGTGTGGTTGGTGCACACTTTAATCCCTGTCCTCAGAGGTGGGGAGTTCAAGGCCATCCGGATCTACAGCCCAAGCTCCAGGGCAGCCAGAGCTACACAGAGAGACCCTGTCAAAAAAAGAAAGAAAGAAAAGAAATAAGGAAGGAAGGAGGGGGGGGGGGAAGAAAGAAAGAAAGAGAGAGAGAGAGAGAGAGAAATTAAAAATAGCATGGCATTGATGCCAAAATTTTATTTTAAAAGCAAAGAAAAAGAGCATGAATCAGTTTCTTAGAGGAATTGAGTGTCACAGTCAGTCAGTTACCCACCCTTGGAAATCCATGTTGCCCTGGAAACAGTCATCGTGGCTCAACCTGGTTTCCTTTTGCCTTCTCTCTGTCTCCCAATAGAACCAGCCTCTCAGCATTGAGAAAGATTTCTCCTAAGTCTTCTAAGTACTAGGAGAGCCACATAGTCCACACAAGGACTCTGAACTTAGAGAACGAAGATGCCACTCTTCCTCGTGATTCAAGATTTCAGTCTGACTAGAAAGCATTCTTGGAAGCAGACTTATTTTGAGCTGTGTGGGGGCAGCTGTGAGTTTCAGACGTTACCCACCTGGGTTTCCCCTCTGGTCCTGTGGCCTTACCCATTCTCTGCTTTTCCTAACAAAAAATAGATGTTAGAAACAGTTTGGCATTGGACATTTTTATTCTAGATGAATGTAATCCTGGCTCTGTGTATACACCCAGCCATGGGGGAGAGGGGACAGGGGGAGCCTCTAGCTGACTCTTATCCTTCGTCTCGGAGAACAGTTGCTCTGGCATCCCACACACACGCTGTTTTCTTTCGCTTGCTGTTTGAACAGTGTTGTCTGGTAACATCTTGCACAACACATTCTAATTTGCTTCTTTCAGGGGATTGAAAATAACACACTCTTTCCCCAGAACCCTGTTTTGACATGAACTGAAATACATAGAACTGTCCACGGCAGAGCCACAAACAACAGCTGCCTCAGTTCACTTGAAGAGGCCAAGAAGTATCTGTTTCATCATTTGTTGGAGAGTTAAAACTAATAAAACTATTATAACAAGACTGACACTTTGTACATTTGGGGTCACCAGATACAGCCTCAAAATACTGAGATAAAAGGAACACGATGGACCCCAACATAGACTGCAAAAAAATGTTTGCCTCCCTTTAGCCTGTTGGCCTTTTCATTGTTACCATTCTGGACCAGTGAGACAGACAGGTAAGGGAGAGCTCACACATAACCCCCGTGGCCTGCAGTTGTAGTCCCAGCTACTTCCACCAGCCCTCTTGAATGGCTTAATGCCTTAGTCCCACCAAACGGCCCTCAGATGCAAAGAGAAGGAAAGAGGCCATGGGAAGGATGAAGAGTTTGGGGTGAGTGACTAGAGGGTCTTGGGCAAGCCACTCCACGTGGATTTCACAAGCATCATGCAACTGGTTGAACTGGGGTGATGGGGGATGCTGTTGATTTCCTACCCAACTGTGTGGATCTAAAATGCCAGAAGTGACTTCATGGGAAATGACACACCATTGTGCTAAATGGTTATCCCCAATAATACGCAAAGTTCCCCTTACACTAAAACAAGTCAGTCTTAAGGCTTATATGCTTCCAGTTCTATCCTTCATTCAGCAGCCTTTATTGTGTCCAAGGCACTGAAGTCGATTGGAAGATAAGTGTGTGGAAGAATGCACTGAGAGTCGCCATTGTCCTTTAAGAGACGTCTTCACCGCGGACTGAGCACACAGGAACAGTGCTTTGTCTGCATTACTGAACTGGATCGTCAATACTCCATGATGCCGGTTCCGTCCCCACCCTTCTAACAGCTGAAGAAGCAAACGGATAAAGCAGCTGAGCAACTTGAGATCGCTCAGCTAGTGCTATTCCTAAAACCCAAATGCAAATGAAAGACATTTTGATGCCGCATGGTAAGATCTGTGATGGAGATGTGGCCAGTCCCATGGGGAACAGGAAAGAGGAATGGGAAAAGGGGCAACATCGGTTCCCTCCTGTGCCAACCTGTCCACACTGCCATGCTGTGCTGGCCTTAGTGTGTGCCACTGACGTGGTGTTTACAGGTGTCATGCTGTGACTTTAAGCATGACAAACATCTGGATCATGTGAGTTGCCCATCTCTACTCCACCACATCTAGCACTAGGTGAAATGTCTTAAACGGCTGAAGGAACCTTGTGGCCAGGATCTAAACCTTTTCCCCTGTGACTAACATCTGCCCGGGACCAGAATAACCAAGGTACCTCCAACACTCATGTATTTGACTCCTGGGCTAATCTGACCAAAACATCTGGGGTCCAGGCAGCATCTCTCTACATGGGGAGAAAGAATAGTGTCGAAGTAAATGTCCCAAGAGGTTAAGCAGAGCTGCAAGCCACTATAGAAGGCAGCCACATACTTACATCATAAATTAGCATGGGAATAAGCAGTGTTTGCCTTCTAGATAACTTCTCTATAAGGAACTTGTGCTCTTCAAGGTATGTATGGTATGCTATTACCATACATCACACAGCAGCCCATTCTGAGGACCTCCTCAATGGTGGCCTTAAGCAACTTCTCACATTCAAGTTGTTTCTCTGGTACCAACTTTCAGGTATCTCTGATGTGACTGTCACCTGCCCAGTTTGCCCATAGATTTTGGATCTCTCCATCCAAGGTGAACTATCCGAGCTACTGCAAAAGATTAGTGGAGCCAAAGAATGTGTCCGTGCGTGTGTGCGTGTGTGTGTGTGTGTGTGTGTGTGTGTGTGTGTGTGTGTGTGCCAGCTGGGGCTACCTCAGTTCTTCTGGCTTCTCTTTTCCTACAGCTTCACGGTACCTCTCTGCCCTCTGGCCAGGCTCACCCTTCTCCAGTCCTCACTCAGACTCCACTGGGTCCACAGGAAGCCAGGCCCATCTGTTGTGCACCCCTGTGTGTCTCCTTATCATTGATCACAGCATTTGCCTGCCTTACTCTCCCAAGTAAGGCCCCCGTCTGTCTTCTTCACCAGCAGGTGTCCAGAGCTTGGCACGAGGCCTGACATACAAATTAATTGGTTTCATGTTTAAATTAGCAGGTGGACTTTCCAGTAGAAAGAACATGGAAAAGGCTGGTTGACATCCTGGGTCTGCTCTTGGGGAAAAGTGTGGTGCCCAGTACCTTATCGACGTTGATTGAGCCTTCCCTGAACTTTCTCATCTCCTAAGAAAGATGGAGATTAATCCCTTCTGGGAAACCATCTTAGGAAAGGGACAAGTAGCCTTCATTATCTGGAAGGACAGCATGCTTGACAATCACACACACACACACACACACACACACACACAGAGAGAGAGAGAGAGAGAGAGAGAGAGAGAGAGAGAGAGAGACTGTGTTACAGAAATGGGAACAGAAAGCTTTTCTGAATTCAGCCCACCGAAGTAGCAAAGCCCTTTCCAAAAAGGGGGAGCATTGAATACTTCGAGTGTCTCTAGAAGGAAACCAGGACAACCTCTGCCCACTTTAGCTCTGGTGCGCCAAGCCCATGCATCGCTACCTGGGTGCTTGTTGCATCCAAGCCTGTACCAGAAAGGAGGAAAAAGCCAGCTTAGCTAGGGTTGGTGGGGCCATGAGTCCTACCAGGAGATGCTGCCTTGGCGCTGTGCGGTGTGCACTGCTTCCCACAGAACACGGGCCCTTCCGCACACCTCTTCCTTCACTTGGGAGCTCTGCATAGCAGGAAGATGAAATCTTGCCTGGGGTATAGTGGAGCCCTTTGTTTTCTCAAAAGCTTTATCAGGTAGGTAAAATACCATTAAAAAACCAGGAAGTTTTCAGTATCTACTCATCACTGGGAATGTCTGCTTTCTTTTTAGGGTTCTGTGGCAGCAGCAATTACATGACCACCTTCATTCTGTGTGACCTGCTCGTTTAGAAAGAAGGGCAATGCAGAAAATGGAGTCTATAATACAGACAGACTCCTCTTGCCCTGTACGGAATGGCTTCTCTCCAAGCTAAACAGCAATGCTAAGCTACTGTATACGTGTCTCTACCAGGCAAGGCCAACATGTACCCATGGCCACATACACCCAAGGATAGCAACGAAGGCAACCCAACACAAAATCAATCATAGACTCACTTAAGTGCTGTGAGAGTATCTTCTTACTTGATTGTGCAGTTCTCAAATGTGAACTGTGTAGACGGTAATGCCATGTTACCATCTGCGTCAAAAGATCGAATGTGCCGGCTCGGACCCTAAGCTCTTGTGCGTTCCGCCTTGTCAATCACGTATCCCACATTGTTTTAAATCTGGACATATCAGTTCCTCTCTAGCTCAAGGAAACAAAGTCATTGGTTTTCTTGGCAGAAGACTAAAACCACCCAGGGAGGGGATGGAGTCAAGGGACATAGATGAGAACAATGGGGAAGGGAATGAATGAGAACAAAATATAATGGCACGTGTATATGAAGATATCGCAATGAAACAGATTACTTTGTAAACCAAAGTACGCCTGAAAAACATGGCTGTAGTTTCCAAAATATCCCCTAGAGGGCACCAATGCGCCACATCTGAAAAAAAATAGAGTTTTGTTTTGTTTTTGAGCTCTACATTTTTCTCTGCTCCCCTCCCTGCCTCTCCCCTCCCTTTCAACCCTCTCCCAGGGTCCCCATGCTTCCAATTTACTCAAGAGATCTTGTCTTTTTCTACTTCTCATGTAGATTAAATCCATGTATGTCAAAAAAAGTCGTTTAAAAAAAAAGTTTACAAAATTTGTTCAGAAGCCTTTTCTGAGAAAAGTTGAAGTCTGACGTCAGAGGTCAAGTGCTCCTCCCAAGAATACAGCTACAACTCCCAGAAGCTCCACCAGAGCCTCTACTTGGCATCATCGGTGTTGCTTTGTTTTACGCATCGCTACGCTTCGGTCCTCATTTGCTCTGTGCGCTGAGAAAATGTCTCCTGACCTACCCAATTCCGGGGTGCAATGCTGTAAGACGCAAAGACCACGGGGCTTTTCACCCTTTCCCTTGGGTCTCCACAGGCAGCTTCCACAGCTGCCCTCCTTTGGCGTCTGCCAAGTTGTTCCTTCCACCACCATGTGAAGCCGGGAGAAAAGATTAGGAAGCCTTTGGAATAGGAAAGGGGTCTCCAGTTGTAGACAGTTCAGAGATGGGGCCCAGGTGGAGGAAGAGTGACTGCTGGAGAAGGTGGCTCCATTTCCCTAGTGAGACTCTCCGAAGCGCTCTGCCTCCATTTTCACATCTGATGTGATGTTGTCCTAGAAGTCACACACCTCTCTCTGCTAACCTAATCGCGCCTGCTCTGCTTTCTTTTTGGGTTACTGATCCTTGTTGATTTCTGTGAGTTTCTAGACACGTCATGCACTTCTGGGCTTTGTCTCCGTGGTCCTAGTGAGTTGTGTTATCCTTGCTTCTTTGTTATATCAAATGTCCCAATGCTCTAATAAATGACTCTTTATGGTTTCCAACGACTTTTGACTTTTAAATTCATGCTTCTAAAAGAGATAGAACACCTTGGAAATCAGAAAACTAATTAGGGTTAGTCACAGCACTG